GTTTGTTGTTACAGTAGATTGTAGATTGTAAATTTTTGGGGGGGATTGTGCCAAATAAGATGAGAGCTGTTGGATTTTGGCAGAGAATTTCACTTTCAATGTCCGAAATGGTTTTAGTTATAGAACTAAAGCATGTGTTTCGCCCACAGATGGAATAGTTGCCGATATCATCTGGTATGTCATTAATACCTACACAGATTATGTATAGTTTGTGGCTTCTATCCAACTCCAGCGAATCTGGAATCGCTTAGTAAAATACACCTGCTGTTCATTAAGACAGCGATAAAGAACAAAAGTCAGAAAATTGGCAGTCGGATGTATGTTCACACTATACTCAGTGATCTGGTGATACTGGGACGAAACAATTGGCAACATTCAAAGGGGCAAACACCGTCCGATATGAACATTTACCTCAATAAATCAGGTAGTCTAACATAAACACATAAATGGGGAAATATACTGACTCAGTTTGGATTCTCCACCATGTTGTGTCGACTTCACATAAATAAAAAAAAATCATCATTTGTTCTCAACACCACGTGTATTCTCCTTTTTCTTTTTCCCTCTTCACACTCTGAAGAGTTCAGCAAGTGACTCACAGAGTTATCGCCCTTCCCCCAAATTCCCAGACCAGTACAATCATAAACATAACAGACTTACTAGAGCAAATTATGGTGTTATCGACCATTTCCCACATAAAAGCTTCATTAAAATTCACATGGTCATTGCAATGCCTGTCAAACACCCAACATAGCCGAGAAACACTTTTTCGGAATATCTTTCGTCTTTATATTAGTTTGTCTTGAGCTTTGAATTGCACAGAAATAACCTAGATCGAAGTTGAGTAGCGGCGAAAGTCTGGATCAACGTCGGCGTTACGGAGGGGGTTAACGGGTAACTATTACCGTGTGGGCCCTTTTACAATTATTTAAAAGATAGTTTGTTCATGTTTGCATAAACCACTATAGTACAAATATTGTTTTTAAGTTACAAATGAAAATTAGTTGGTTTGAAAACGTCTGACCTTGAAAGGAGGTGGGTCGATAATACCCACACAAAATCCTTTATTCTTGGTATTATCAACCCTCCGTGAATCAAACATCAAAGCTTGAATGTGTCGCCAAGGTTACCAAACAAAGTTACATTAAATAGTGCGTATAACACATTGTGAAGTATATCACCTATTCTCAGATAAACCGTTGTGTTTTAGAAAATACACAAAAAAGAAAAGCCTTAAAATGTGTTTCAAAGTGATTTATTTTTAAACCTCAAGCTCAAAAGATGTTAAATACGAAGATTCAGAACTCGAGCTCCCAAGATAATATAATGGCTGACAGTTGGATATAACAGACTAAATTGCATTTGTAATCTACGAGATGTTGGAACAATCTACAACTTTGAACTGATGTGACAGACAAGTACAAGATTCAACATCACCAATGTTTCTGATTAGAGCTTTGATATGTTTACCACAAAATACAATAATTAACATTGTGAATAACTATATCTGGTCTAACAGGACCGACAGAATACAGATAACACTAACACGTGTAGCCGCCATGATCTACTGTATTCGACTGAAGCACATGGTACCACATAGGTAGACACAAAATTGGGATTGGTATCCTAGCGAGGCTGTCACAATTATGCGGAACGAATGCATATATATATATCTTGGAATTAATATGGAACGAAATGTCATCAACATCCCCTTTTCTTTAAGAATGGAAATAGACATCAAATTTGGCACTTATTGTTAGCACAGTTCTTGAGGCTTTAATAAATTGTATAAAACTTATCACCAGTATATTACTAGCAGTAGTCTTTGGATGCAGCAGTATAAAGACAGTTCTATAACCTTTAACAACTAAAATGTTCAGAATTACACCATTACTTTATGAGATTAATTCTTTGAACATTAACACAAAATTAAACACTTGAACTTGAACACAGTTCCGGAACACCTAAAAAGTAAAAACTGGATCGAATTGCATCAGTCACACATCACTAGCGCACATAGTCCTTCAAATAGGCTGGCTCGCGAATTGTCCTTGCTGGTCGTGATGATTGCATAATGCCAGGCTTGGCCTTGGGTGCACTCGGAGTGTCTGATTGTCCAACACTGGTCGCGATCGGAGTATTGTTTCCAGGCGCGGTTTGCTTGGTACCGATATCGACATCACGCGAGTCGTTGCGGCCCACATCCTCGTTGTTGACGACCACACCATCGTATTGAGATAATTTGATAGGCTCACTTTTCACTGGACGTGTTGGCGTGTGATCACGAATGTTCACGTTCACTGTAGTTGTGCGTAGATGAACACGATTTCTACGATAAATCGCACCATTGGGAGTTTGAAGCGTGTACGACCTATCAGCCACTTCATCTATTATCTTTCCTTGTCTCCAGATATCAGACGGGAATTTCTTGTAGTACACATTCTGTCCTTTCCTCAGTTTCGGGAGTACTCGAGACTTCTTGTCGTAGTTACGTTTGACAATATCTCTACGGGACTGTCTACGGGTCATAGCTTCGACGTCACGCGGTTTTTGATGTATTGACGGCAACATAGTGCGCGTACAATGTCCGAACATCATTTCGGCAGGACTCTTGCCAGTGTCCTGCCTTGGAGTATTTCTCAGTTCCAAAAGAGCTTCATATTGGTCAGATCCATCGCGCAAGCACTTAATCATCATATGTTTGATGATCTTTACGGCTGATTCTGCCTTGCCATTACTCTTGGCGTAGTTTGGTGATGAGACCTTGTGATGGATTCCCCAGGATTTAACAAATTTGGCAAAGTCGTGGGAGAAGTACTGAGGTCCCCCGTCCGATACAATTTCCGACGGTACACCAAATCGGGCAAATTGCTTCTTCAGCACATTTATTACTTTGTTCGAGGTAGTTGACGTCAGGTGCTCGACTTCAATGTCGTTGGAGTAGTAATCAACACTGACGATGTAATTACGCCCCTGAATTTCGAACAAATCGGTCCCGATCTTTTCCCATGGAGTACCCTCTGTATGTTGTTTCAAGCTTTCCTGCGGGTTACTAGGTTTGAGTTCTTGACATGCCTTGCAGGCATCTGCCATTTGCTTGATATCTTTGGCCATGCCGGGCCAAAATATGGTGCCTCGTGTCATAGGCAAGATGAGCACTATGTAGTCTGGCTTTCATGTCCGCGCGTAACGATTGCAGGATCACTACGGATTCACCTTTCATCACAATACCATCATGATATCCTAACATGTCGCAGAAATCAAAGTAGGGTCTCCCAGCAGCGGGAACGCTAGCCTTGTCACTAGGCCACCCACACAGAATCAATGATACGAGTTCCTGCATCCCAGGATCCTTTTCAGTAGCCTCACGAACTTCCTCGAGTCTTGCATCGGGAATGTTACTGAAAGCATTTACAGACATGATTCTCGGTCGCGGTTCAGTTTCAGAAACCAGTTCAGCTCTGCTCAACGCATCAGCAATGGTCAGGTTCATTCCTTTCACAAATTGGAATTCGAAATCATATTGGTTCAAACGCACTAGAATGTTCTGTAGTCGTTTTGGCGCATCACTCAGTGGCTTTTTCAGTATCGATGCTAACGGTTTGTGATCATTTTGGATTGTAACGGCTCGTCCATACGTGTACTGATCAAAACGCTCGAGACCAAAAAGTATTGCCAGGGCCTCCTTCTCTATCTGTGCCCAGTTTCGCTCAGATGTCGTTAGGGATCGTGATGCAAATTCTATGGGTTGTCCACATTGCATCAGTACGGCGCCAATTCCATGTTGACTACTGTCGACCTGAACAACGACTTCCTTGTTGGCGTCGAAATAAGCCAATACGGGTGCTTTCGTGAGTTTGCGCTTTACTTCGTCGAACGCGGTTTGACAGTCTTTAGACCAGTTCCACTCCACATCTTTGCGCGTCAATGCACGAATGGGTTCCAAAGTGATCGCGAGGTCTGGTAGAAACTTGGCCATGTATTGCACAACTCCGCAAAATCGTTTCACACCAGAGACATCCTCGGGAGCTGGCATCTCCATAATTGCCTTGATCTTCTTGTCATCGGGCTTCACACCATCACTGGTTATCGAGTGACCATGGAATGAAATCTCACGTAGGCCAATAGCCTTTTTATCCTCATTTAGAGTGATGTTCTGCTCCTTACACCGCTTATAGAGAGAGCGTAGTTTCCGGTCGTTGTCGCGATTAGCTGCTGAGTCGTCGCTTCCGCAACCGGCTACAATGATGTCGTCCGCTATCGTGAAGACTCCATCTAAGTCACCTAACGCTTCAGTTATTTTCCTGTGGAAAATTTCGCTGGACACCTTGAGTCCGAAAGGTAGTCTCGCCCAACGAAAACGACCGAAAGGGGTTATCATGGTTGTGAGCTTGCTAGACTCCTCGTCAAGTCTCACGTGCCAATATGCATCCTTGACATCTAGCTTGCTAAAACATCTAGCCTTGCTTAACTTTGGCAATACATCATCCAACTAGAGCTGTCCGGTTATGGGAATTGACCTTCGGTTTCGGTTTCGATTCGGTTACTTGATTAAAAGTTGATTCTCGGTTTCGGTTTTCAGTTTTATTCAACAATAGATCTATAACTGGTTCACAACTTGTGAGACAATAAAATAAATAACAAAATATGATATTCCAACTCAAACATGAAAGAGAAACAAAAAATATACCACCTGGTATATCAACAAGAATGCACAAACCTATCAACAGTAACAAGACAGAAAAAAATAATAGAAAATATAACAGGTTTGGTTTCAGCTATAATGAATATGTTATAACACAGTCTGGAGTTTCAAAATTCGAAACTTGTTATGGAGCTGCAAGTGTGCAATATGGTTCAAAGAAAACAGTAACAATAATAACATAGGCAAGACTACACTGACTAACACTTCTTGTGCCATGAATGAGTATTGAACAAAACTGATTTTTTGAACACATCAGGGTGTTAATTTTCCTTCTCAACCAAGTCAGTACCACAGTTCACTGTCGCAGGTTATGTCCGAGAAAGGTAAGTTGCTCAGCAAAAAATGGCTCAAGACAGGATCTTCGATTGGAGATGATGAGACCAGATTTGCTGAACATGCGCTCGCTAGGAACAGAGGTGGCTGGTATCGAAAGAAAAACCTGTGCCAACTTTGCAAGGTTTGAGTACCTAGTCTTGTTTGTTTTCCACCAGTCGAATGGAGATTTCTCAGGTTCCAAAAGTTCCTCACTACAAAACAACTGAAGTTCATGTTCCATCTTTTCCCGTAGATTATCAGTTGAGTGCTCAGAAGCAGTCTGCTTCTTCTTATCTACCATTTTCTTGAATATTTCCCACACAGTCTTCTTTGACGTCGTAGCAGTCTCTGATGACTCAGTCGCACTAGCAGACTGCTTTTTGATGTCAGATTCACATGCACTCGGAGTTTCGATAACTTGAGGATTCTTAGCATTGTCTAACATCAGCTGCACTATTTCTTTTGCTGTCCGGTCTCTGGCTGTGTCATCATTGAACCCATAATTCTTGAACCTGGGATCGAGGTATGTGGGTATTGCAAACTCAAGCTTCATCTCATATTCAGGCCATCTGGCATTGATGTTGGCATGTATCTGCTTTCCAAAGTCATTCATTTCAACGTCTTTCATCTGCTCATTCAAAACGTGCAGGACTGGGATTATCATTGAGCTTGTAGCATATCTAGACGCAGACATCATGTTTGTTGCATCCTCAAATGGTTTCAGGGCACTTACATAACTTGCAGCGATCTTCCACTCAGATTTTTTAAGATCATTTATCTTATCGTTCGTAGCTAATACAGCGGTTACTGATTCTCTTTGCTCGACTAGTCTCTCCAGTAAATAATACAATGAATTCCACCTTGTTGGGCATTCACTCTTCAGACGATGCACAGGCACACCCAATGATTTCTGCTTCTCAGCAAGGCTGTGTGTATCCTTTGCGCTTGCATGAAAATGTTTAGTGATAACTTTAGCCTTCGCAATTACTTTTTCAAGCCCAAAGAATTTCTTGACTGCATCGTTCACAGCAAGTTGTAATGTATGAGCAAAGCAATTGAGAGGAACGAACTTAGAAGATGGAAGTTGTCTCATAGCTGCTTGCACATTTGATGCATTATCTGTCACAACATAGATCTTCAATGTCCTTTCGTTATAATCTGGGATCCATACGTCGAGGCAGGAAAGTAGAGCTTCAGATATGTTCACTGCTGTGTGTGATTCAGGCATATGTGCAACATTTAAGCAGTAGTCACTGATGGTGAAGTTATCTGATAAGAAGTGAGCGGTCACTGCCATGTAGGCATCTTGTGCTACTGAGGTCCAATGATCTAGAGTAATGCCCAAGGACACACAATCCTTCAGTTTTGATTTTATCACTGACGATTGCTCCATATATGCCTTTGGAATTAATGAGTCTCTTATGTATATTGTAAGCTGGCTGAAGGCAATGAATGAATTCACGAAAACCCTGGTCATTTACGATGCTGACAGGCTGAAGGTCAATGCATATCATTTCAGTTAATTTTTTATTACAATCTCTCTGTCTCTTGTCCTGAGAGCCCCACTTTTTGTCCTGTAGGAAAGGCACCATTTTTGTTTGTTTACTTGATGTTCCTGGGGATTCGCTGGGGACTGCTTCATCCTGGAAGGAGCAGAATATTCCCAATTATAGGTAGGGCCTATAATATATTTGAAATATGAATTCAAACTTAAATTCAAACAATCCATCTATTTAATTCATTCATTCAAATCTTTTAATTTAATTCATTTTCCATATTTTTATCTATTTACATATATTATTATTCCCATATATTATTCATGTCTGGGTACGTCTCTTTAAAAGTGTGGCCATTTCGAAACGATCTCTCAAAAGAAAGCTTTTATTTCCGCATGCATTTGATCGTTCATATAATCCATTTTATGAAAACGGCCCCGTGTACTTTAGACTGCAAGAAACATTGCCCGAAAGTCTGTATTATTAGGTAACTTGAGTTGAACACACGACTGTTTTTTTTTTCTTAGAAACTTACCTTCAATTTACGCTTCAGCGATGCCTTCTCTTCGAGAGCTTTTTTCAGCTGTACTGCTTCGGTTTTATGCGAAGTTTCGATATGTCCCGTGAGATTGCTGGTATTACCATAACGTGCTGCAACCTTTTTACCTCCCGGGCATAATTTACATTTAGCGAATGTTTCATTTTTTCCTAGTTACTCGAAATATAGCCACACAGGACTGCTTTGCTTGACGCTGCCCGCCATAACCACGTTGTTACTGTTGATACCGAAAGTACGGTTATTTGTGCGCATGCTCGGTTCGTATTTCCGGTTTTTTGAGACTACCGATATCGAGTTGCCTTTTCGGTTAACCGGACAGCTCTATTAAAGAAACTACAAATATTTCCTCTAGATACATATATTTACAGTAGATTCTGCACTAGTAGCTGGACTTTAAAATAAAGTTCTTTGATGATGATCAGACACATCAATTGTGTGGTCTTTTTTAGCTGTTTAAAACCCACAAGTTTCCATTATCTATTGCAGTCGCTAGAGGTGGAGATACTTTATCAATGGTGATCAGAAATAATCTTCCTTTGTGATTGTTTACAGCTGGCATGAACCACAGACTTGTCTCCTCATCAAATTGACAGTCCACACTTTGCACGATGCTTGCAATCCGGGACATTGAACCACTTATTTTATCATTGTGGAATAGGAAATTTTCAGTTTGACCTAAAAATAAATATTTCCCAGGAGAAAGATTTAGGCATCCTTCTCCTCTGTCAAGTTCAAAGTAAACAAAGCTGGAATCTGTCTTGGTTTTAAATTCTCACACTCAAAAACAGTTTGTATGCATTTTGGTCAAATTCGGAAACATCACGACAATCCAAATCTATCTCTCTGTGGTGTACCCATTCTGGTTGATGAGCGAACAAAATCCTTTTATTTTGTTTATTTGTAATTTGATCAATATGTTATATCTGGTAGACCAGGCATGAAAACTATATTTACGGTGGACTTTCTTTTGAAATGCCTTTGGAAATGCCCGCCGTGCCAACGATTAAAACCCTAAAACATGAGATTCTCAGGTTAACATGTATTAGGAAAGCTAATGAACTGAAGTCCACCCTGATATGAAACTCAGCCAATGGGGCATTAGATTGTGGCATTTCCATGACAAAATCTGATAGAATATGGATAAAAAGGATGGGAGATTTTGGGTGGGGAAGAGAGCTCACTAGCCTCATGGACAGACACAGAGAGCTCACTAGCCTATGGACAGACAGAGAGCTCACACACCATATGGACAGACAGGTTACACCATGATGAACAGTATCATAGGAGTGGGTATTTTAGTGTATACCTAAGAAGTACAAGGACAGTTCTGATACGAGACACAAAGCGAAGTACTAGTATGAGTATATGAACTCTATATGTTGGTGAGATGTTGCTTTTGTACATGTAACATTATTATTATTCAACTTGCCAACAAGTACTTGTGTTTATGCTTACTGTGTTACAGAGGGAATGAAGCATATCTTCAGCAAGACCATGTGTAACATGAGGGAATCGTCATTGTCATGTGAACATCTATACTCCACGAGTGCAGGAAACTCAACACCACCTGTAACAGTTTGGTAAAAACCAAAGGGGCAATGGTTAGGCCGAAGTGAGAATCTACATGCTTATTGAAAGTACTCAGATTGATGATTGGGTGCCAAACACCAGACTTCTTCCGTACCAAAAACATTCTAGAGTAGAAGCAGGGTGTACATCCCAACACTGGAATCTCCTCGACCTCACCATTGGGAATCCCCAAATCCTCCGACACCACTGATAAGGCCCAGCTGTCTTGAGTTATTTCCCTCCACTATGTGAGAAATGAGGCCAGACGACTGCTTACCGGATGTTCCGGTAACCGTACATCTAAACCAGATCTGTGTACCCTCATTTTATGTCATCAGTAAGATGAGGACTTGCAGTCAGTATTTTCACATGCTTGTCAATTAGATTATTTATGTGTGATCATTTCAAATACACCCACCACATAATTGTTAAATACCCTTCAGAAATGTAGTAGTTGTTGGTTTTATTTAATGTGTTTATTGCTAGTCAAATAATGACATAAGATGGCCTTTCAAACAGCAATACAATTACAATCATAATACTACTCCAACTACATATGCATTCTAAAAACATTTTATTTCAAATTCACAATTTAAAAACATTTTGAAAATTGCAATTTGAATTCAAAAACTTTTATAATATGAATGTAAGTTAACTGTAGAAAAAACACAATAAAACAATGAACTTGACCTGAGGGGATTACCTCTTTTTGTCTCTTTATTTTAGTTTATTAAGTTTATAAACAGGTTCAACTTTTGTTGTGACTAGATTTAGACACATAATAAGCAGATTTCAGTCTTTTGAGTGTTTCCCTATTAAAGCCTTTTTTTAGTTTGGCCTCTAAATCAACAGGTCTTGCCTTCAGAACTTGAAGTGATTCTAGTGTAGAATCTGACAGTGCACTTCTCTGGTCTATTCTGTTTTTCCGCGCCGTGCTGAACACACTCTCACAGTGAGCACTGCTGTCGGGAATAGTCACAATTGCCATCATTACTTTAGGAAAACACTTGAACAACTTTTTTTACCATTGTCACCTTTTAAGTTTTCAATTTCTCCGCAGGTTTAATCCAATCAATCTCTGATGCATGAGTGGATATCTTGGGATTGATACAATGCAAACTCTTCCATGAGTTTGTCCTTATCTATGTCCATTGATGTTAACAAACAAGGAAATTTATCCAGTAATATTTCAAGATGTCCAGACTTGGCTGTCAACTGCCAAGCTACATCTGACACTTCAGCATACCGAAGAACTGGTTCGTTGATTGGAAGTTTTTCCTTGATGTAGTCACATTCTGTTTGGAAGAAGCAAACAAGCATCACTATAAAATTCTTTAATCATGGAGTCCCTCAGCTTGTGATATTTTTGTTTCTGATAAACTCCTTTGCTTCCTCTCCAATGACTAGGTCAGTTCTTTCTTTGATGTTGTACTGAGAATGGAAACTTCATCAACAGGTTTGCCATAATTCATGGCTGCAGGTTTTACAAACCTTAATAACAGTGTCCTCATAAGATGATGTAGAGCATGTTTGAGTGTGTGGACTTTTCAATCCTCTGCCTGTAGTTTCTTAAGAATTTCATCAAACACCTTTATAGTGTAGTAAAAACATCACATACAGTTTGTTTGTAGGAGACCTTACAAAATTGAAAATATTTTCTTTTGTGCATAGGAGACCTCAGTTTGTGAAGGAGTAATGCTTGACTTATCCCCCTTTCCTTTCTGCTTCATAGCCTGTTTTTGTAGTTTTGTGTCCAGGATTTCTTTCTGCTGCTTAAAGTAGATCTTCAGATGAAGGAGGCGGTCAACGCATCTGAAAAACACAAGGACAAAAATGACTATCAATAGCAACTTGACAGGGTACAAAGTGGAATAAACATACATAATTATTAATATCAGTAATCAGTAATTGACAATTCTTATAAGTTAACACATTGATAATATCATGTAGTGATATATTACGTACCACCCAATACTCGGCCACCTGGTAGAAACATGGTTTATCATCCCTTTCTGTTCCATTTCAAGAAAAACCTGTGCTTCTCTGAGCTCTGAATGCCTTTTATCACTCTTGTTAAAATAAAAAAAAAGATATTCACCACAGCCTCGTCAACAGCTGGAAGACACTTGACAAATTTCTGAGCAGTTATATGCACTAAATGATGAGGGCATCCTGACAGGTATATTTGCAGTTGTTTCTCTTTCACAAATGAAAATACTCCTTTCTTGTGCCGAGTCATTACACTGGCATTATCACAACCTAAAGCCAGACAATTTGACCATGGAATGTTTCTGGACTGAAGTTCTTCATCCATCAGCTAGAAAATATTATCACCTATTCAAGTTAATTAAAATGCATTTAAAAAGATGAATCAATACAATCAGTCCTGCCGTTTTAAACTGATTTTTTCATATTATGAACTTAATTTTGAATAAAAACAAAAAACCAAACAAACAAAACCAATAAAATAAATTACCTCGAACAAGATATTAACTACATATACAAGGCATGTAAAACAAATATCAATCATGATTTATATATATTTGCTACTTTGATGTTATTAGTCCATGCACTTCACTTACCTGTTGCTGCTCCCTTACATATGGGAATGGATAGAAGCTCTGAATCCACTGTCATAGTTTCTGTTTTTAAAGTCCTCACTACCAAAGGATACTGCTTGCTTTTAATGTCATTGCTTCCATCTGTGGATATGGTAAATATTCCTTTCTGTGGCCTTTTGTCGGAGAGTCTTTTGTTATATCAGCCAAATCCTTTATCATGGCAGTTGCCTTTGTTCGACCACATTGTAATGCTACAATGAGAATTGACATACAACTGAATGAAAATACTTTTGAGCGTTAGACAGAGAGCGTCTGCTGAACTTAATGACAAGTTGAATTCAGCTATCAGTTCACTCACACCAGATTCTGCATTCGTCACTTGTAAATTGTGTTCAAACTGCTCAGTTGTTTGTGATTGCTAGCAAAAGGAAGTGAGCTTGCAGTTTGATTTTTGCAACGATGGCCAGTCAACATGGACTTTTGATGTCACATGTCGTTTGCAGTCATTCCTCCCTGCATGGGCACAGCTAAAGTCCACTCTACAAACTTCACAATGTATGAAGTGTTCACCTTTGATAGAGGGCCCCAGTTCATGCCTCAATTCATGGTAAGACTTCTTGTACTCCAACAATGACGTCGAATCCAAGTCATCACTGTCATCCACCATGATCAAACAAAATCAATCCGGACTTAGTCGTATTTTACAGATTGTTTTTTAAAAATTCAAAAAAATTAAAAAATTGCTGTGAAGAGGTCTCGGCCAAGCATGCTGCTTGGGATTAGGCCTAGACCTCTTCGCAGCAGGCCCAGCACCCTGTGAAAAACTAGGACCCCTGGGCCCAAGGTTCTTGAAAAGAATGCCAGAGGCTACCTGGTAATTCTTCAGGTCCTTCTGAGCAAAAGGTAAAACACCACTGAACAGAGTGGGACCATTGACGAGGACCATCAAAAGGCTGGAGCGGAAAGGTTCGCTCACTAAGATGGAACACAGACGAGTGAGCATCATGTGGGCAAGCAGCGAATATTGCAACGCCACAACCGAATGTAATGCAGAATTCAGGGCAGATCTAAGTCTGTCCTGCATATCCTGCCTCTCCTCCACAGAGAGCCAATCCTCGGGCAGATCAGACAGTCTGTACAAGAATACGGTAAAACAATTGATGTATGACAGGATATGAAGGGAGAGGTGCAACATCCTCATGACCTTGTGATGCTCCTTAGATTGGAACACCACACGGTCTACCGCCTTCCTGGGCAAGGAAGAAAGGTCCCTTGACTCCAGCTTGGCTGGATGAGGAGACAGCTTTTCGTCGTGGATAGCATAATCGGAGGGTCTAACCTCTGATAAGTCTGTCACCCCAAGTTGCAGCCCAGGAAACCCAGAAGCCCATCTAGAGTAGGAATTTTTCTCCATGACACGCCCCTGAGCAGTAGCCAGAGCTGAGGACACAATTGTCCCTTCTGGTAGGGTCCTGTCACTGCAAGGAGCAGGTTTAGGAGGTACCACAAAACTTAGGGATGTGGTGGCCTCTGGGACCAATGACGTAAAAGCAGATGGGAAATATCAGCTACCACCTCTGCCTCGTCTGATGACTGGGACTTCTGATAGGTCATCGACCTCTGAGCACCCAGGTGACAGATTAAGAACGTCACACTCTGCAATGCCAGATCCCTCACAATCCATGGGCTCCAAGGCATCAACATCTTGAGGAAGCCATCAGAGCCTGAATTGTGTGGACTCCAGGTGGGAACGTTTAGGAGAGTATTTACCCACCTTGGCCTTAGGGCGTGCAGCAAACCTGGATGCCTCAAGCCCCTTGGAATGAGCAGAGGGGACCGCCCAAGAAATCAAAGCACTAACAGCCTGGTGTCTCCTAGTGCCGAAATGGCCCCCAAACAGGAGGATTGTTGGGGAGTGGGGGACCAACAAACTACCGTATCTCTGCTGGTTTGGTGAAACCAAACCCCAAGGATTCCAGTGAGGGTAGGAAGAAGGACTCCAAGGATGGGAGTGACCCCAGGGTTGGCCAAATTGGCCTGCTTGGGTGTGGGGCTGGAAAGTCAGGCACCACATGTAAACCTAAAGGATTACAGGAGCGGGCCTCAAAACCTGGGGGCAGGGCCAACCCAGGAACCAGACAAGGACCCTCCCCAGAACCAGAAGCTACCGGTACACCAGGGCCACCAAACAAGTTGGTGAATGATGATTGGGACACGCCCCTAACCGAAGGCAAGCTCTGGAAAAACTGGGTCCCAATCAGTTCAGCATCAGCACAATCCCACTCTGAGCTGAACTGCTCCTCCCAAGAGTCTGCGAGGGATGGGCCACTCCTGGCACCAACTAATGCCACTGAAATGGAGGCGGTGGGTCCAGACACAAGTACACTGTGGGCAACATCCTTAGACAACCTAGTGACAATCTTGCACTTGTCCTTACCCCGGTCGGAAGATTTACCCTTTCAGTCTGAGTAAGAGCACTTAACAGTAGCCACCACACTGCCAGAGGGAGAACCAATCAAACAGAAATCACAGGGTTTCTCCTCTGAGCAGTTGCGGCACTGGGGACAAGGGGAATGGGGGTCGGCTTCACTATAAAAGTGACCGCCGCACCCATTGACGGTACTGCAGCGAAGGCCATTACTAGCCATAACCTCTGCTACACAGAACGAAAAGCTCATAACAATAGAAATGAAAAATACAAACAAGAGGCCCATGGGCCTAAATGGTCATCTGACATAAAATACAAGATTTCAAATTTTGAACTTATTTCACCTGGATTTAAGAATTAAGGACACTCAACCACCACCTTGAAAGTGGGTTAAGGTTATTAATTTCAAGAAACTTCATAAACCTTCATCCCAGCATGCTACAGGCCAAATATCATCACCCTGGGTGTTCTGGTTATTCAGAGGATGTTTGAAGTAACAAACTTTGGTCAGTGCCATGTCACGATCATTTCATGCCAGTTTTGACGCAATTGCACTGGTGGAACTTGAGAAGAAGTTGAAAATGTGTTTTCAAGATGGTGGCCATCTTGGATTTCTGACCAACCCGAAATTAACAAACTTTAGGCAGGGCCATGTCACAATCATTTCAGGTAAGTTTCAGCTCAATGTAACAGGTAGAACTTGAGAAGAAGTTGAAAAAGTGTTTTCAATGTATTTTCAAAATGGCGCCCATGTTGGATATTGGACTGACCCGAAATTAACAAACTTTGGTCAAGTCACGATCATTTCAGATCGCAAATTAATTCAATCGCTGTAAAACAAAAAGAGGGTAAACACTACTTGAATGAATTGAATACAATTCAACAGAAAAAAACATGTAACAAACAGCAACCCAGCATGAAAAAACAATGAACAAAAAATACTAAGATTCACTGACACATGTCTGAACACGAGTGGGGAAAAAACAGGCTGAAATAAACAGGCAAACTTAATACAAACAATGAGAATGGAAAGCGGTAAAACCTGCTATGAAATGAACCAAAATGCAAAACAAACTGGGGAGTATCGCCCTGCACACGTAGAGAACCGCCACCACTGGTGAGAACACGTCTGGTCAGCCCAACGCCATGGATAAAGGACATGTTTCTGGTCGTGAGTCATTTTGTTTCTTTTGATCAGTCCCAATAGCAAACGAGCACAAGGTGAGATCAAAGGGAACATGCATATGAAGTTTGAGAGATGGGCATTCAGTACTTGTTTTGAAATTGCAATAACCATCTTTACTAGGGAAAATCCAAGATGGTTGCCTGTCTGCCATTTCGTTTTTCTGATCAAACCCAAAGTTACATGGGCACAACAAGAGACCAAGGGGGACCTACATATGAAATTTGAGAAAGATCCATCAAGTAGTTCTCAAGAAATAGCAATAACAAACTTTCAAAGTTAAAATACCAGATGGCCGCCTGTCAGTCATTTTTTTTATTAGACCCAATGTCAAACGGCACATGAGGGCCCATAGGAAACCTACATATGAAATTTAGGAAAAATCCATCAAGAACTTCAAAGAAATGGCCATAAAACTGTTCAAAGTCAAAATCCAAGATGGTCACATTTCAGACATTTTGTTTTCCTGATCAGTCTCCAAGTTATATGGGCACAACTACAGATTCCGAGAGATCCATCCCTTACTTTTCAAGAAATAGTGACAACGAGAAATGGTTACAGACGGACAATGGACATGGCAATTTGAATAGACTAAAAATCCAATTCACAAAGAGCAATTAAAGATCAAACAATGATGATGCCAAAATCTCTCTGGGATCTTTTGTTTGAGCACTGACGGAAGAGACTTTCAACTTGTGATCACCTTGATTTAACAGCTTCAGTTAAGCCCAGTCTTATTTTAATTTAAAAACAAAATCAAAAGTTCACATTTGGTTATTTTATTTACATAATCTGTACAATTTACATTCGCTTCTTACTTCTCTCACACCACATGTACTCTTTTACTCCAAAAACCTTCTGTATATACACGTAAACAAATTCACAATTCTGTTATCTGGACTTCATATTCATCAACATTAAGAAATACAATAAAGGTCAAAGGTCAATTTTAACCAGTTTCTCTCAGTATATGATAGATATAACCTAATTTAAACCAAATATTCCATCTTGTATATTTTCAGCACTACCAAGATGATGTTCATAACTTCATTAAGCATCATAGTTTTTAGGACATAATAAAGATTTATATACAAGAAGTACAAAAGTATTTGTAAATTCTTAGAAGTAACATTCAAAGAATGATATTCTTAAATATGAACAGATGGTGAGCTACTACATTCAAGCGAGGAAATTATCTCTCCAGGCCTGCACTTTCCCCCACCTCCCCATGTCATTCAAGCCAGTGCACAAACACAGGACACACTACAGTCACTATGCTGCCTTGTTGCTAGTAAACTAGGATATAGGCTAGAATGCAAGGATCAAGTTGCTAAAGGGCAATAACTCTTACCCTGTATGATGTATTTTAGATGACACTCCAAAATCCAAAAAGTTACTCAAAAATCTGGTGATTGCAGATTCAAAACATAACATAAAATTAACTGGCCAAATATTGTGGGGATTAGTACTAGGAATTTGGAAAAACAAACCTAGTACTAAGGTCTCCTCCAGCTGGTAAGTATCTGTACATTGTACAAGGGTTTGTAAGAAATCTGCTTGTCCATCATAAACCTGTTTTAATTTTCAACACATTTGCTTTTGAATCACATACATATCACATTCATTACATATACATATGATTGCTGATGATTTTGCGACTATAATTAAGAACAGGCTGGATTTAAGAATTTCAATTCTTACATAAAATTTCTTTTGATACATGTATATACATACAAAAATAAGTTTATTATACATAATGGAAATCACAAATATTCTGTGAAATTCCGAAAGAAATCCTATTTCATACAAACAAATTTGAAAACCAAGTATGGCTTATTTTAGTCCTTTCACATTTTATCACTAAATTTGTTTGATCCGAATAAAACGAAAACAATATCACAGTACATTACAAATGTTGGTTCTTAGCTTATAGGTAAATAGAACTTTTTTTCCAAAATGTTTTATAAGAAATGACTTGTATATATATACATATACCATTTCTGATATTGAAAATTCTTTAATTTTTGTAATCTATCTTCCACAAACAGAATTTCTCTGAGCACTTTTTTATCCTTTCAAAATTTTCAAAGGAGGATACTTACGTATTAATTGTAATGGTTGTTATGTTTAAAGGATTTCATTTTTATTTTCTTTTGCTATTTTTGAGAAAGATATGAAATCCTGAAAATTAAATATATTACAAAAATTTTAGTTCCTAACATAATCTCCATGACAAATACATAAATTTTCCTTGCAGATATTAACTACAGGATTTTGGATTAAGGAAAAAAACAACCATTACAGAATGAAAAAGATTACTACAAAAATAATTTCACATAATGTTTGTAACATATATAATAAGACAGTCTTCTGAATCAGCCTGACATTAGAGGGGAGTCATACACGTGTATCGCTCGATCGTCTGACACCGACACAATCTTTGATCCATCATGGTTGTACCTAGCTCCCCACACCTATAAAACATAGACAAATCTTGCATGAAACGGACACAAATATAGGATTCTATTTCTCACATCAGATACTTTTGTAAGCAGCCATGATAAAATAGCATTTCATTAGACTGATTATAAATCTGATTTTGCAATATTCTCACTTCATGTTTGTTGAATGTTACATCACAAGGCAGGGTGGTTACCTGATCTGAATGGTCATAGAATGTGTGAACACACTGTCGGGAACCTGCATTCCAGATCTTTACAGTCTTATCTGACGAACTGTGAAACAAAAATTAAATTCAGACTTTCATCCAATCAGGACAAGCTTGATGTGATATACAGAATCTAAAGAAACTTGACATAAAGAATTTGCTATCAGGAACACTGGCTACTGTATTTAGATACATCAGCAGGTAAGTATACAAAAATACAGTGTGTTATGTTTCTATGTGAAATCAAACACGGACAGATATACCTCTACATTACTAAATCTGACTGTACATCTTGTTCAATTAAATAAGAACCTTAACCTCAGAAACTAGCAAATCCCCTTTAGACATCTACATAATTTAAGTAATTTTTGATTTGAGTAAAATCTGTGTTTCCAGGTATTTTATACTTCTGTATTACAAAAGTGAAAAGTAGACAAGACAGATCCTGTAACTACAAGTATCAACGAACAACTAGATAGGACAGGCTCTCAAGACACTTTGATCTACCTTTATCCTCACAATGAGACTTCGGCAAACTAACCTCGACAGACAGGAACTGACGTATCACATGACGTATTGACTGGCCATGACATACACAAACTTATACTAACTCCCATGTATAGACATAATAGATATACACACTCATATACATAGTTACAAAACATACACTCACTTACATAGTAACAATACATACACTCACTTACATACATAGTAACAATACATACACTCACTTACATACATAGTAACAATATATACACTCACTTACATAGTAACAATACATACACTCACATACATAGTAACAATACATACACTCACTTACATACATAGTAACAATACATACACTCACTTACATACATAGTAACAATACATACACTCACATACATAGCAACAACACAAAAACTTACTCACATGCATAGTAACAATACATACACTCACGTACATAGTAACAATACATACACTCACTACATAGTAAAAATACATACACTCACTTACATAGTAACAATACATACACTCAATTACATACATAGTAACAATACATACACTCACTTACATACATAGTAACAATACATACACTCACTTACATAGTAACAATACACACACTCACTTACATACATAGTAACAATACATACACTCACTTAACTAGTAACAATACATACACTCACTTACATATATAGTAACAATACATACACTCACTACATAGTAACAATACATACACTCACTACATAGTAACAATACATACACTCACTTACATAGTAACAATACATACACTCACTTACATATATAGTAACAATACATACACTCACTTACATACATAGTAACAATACATACACTCACTTACATAATAACAATACATACATTCACTTACATAGCAACAATACATACACTCACTTACATAGTAACAATACATACACTCTCATACATAGCAACAACACAAAAACTTACTCACATGCATAGTAACAATACATACACTCACGTACATAGTAACAATACATACACTCACTACATAGTAAAAATACATACACTCACTTACATAGTAACAATACATACACTCAATTACATACATAGTAACAATACATACACTCACTTACATACATAGTAACAATACATACACTCACTTACATAGTAACAATACACACACTCACTTACATACATAGTAACAATACATACACTCAATTACATACATAGTAACAATACATACACTCACTTACATAGTAACAATACATACACTCACTACATAGTAACAATACATACACTCACTACATAGTAACAATACATACACTCACTTACATAGTAACAATACATACACTCACTTACATATATAGTAACAATACATACACTCACTTACATACATAGTAACAATACATAAACTCACCTTTATACATAGTAACAATACATACACTCACTTACATAATAACAATACATACATTCACTTACATAGCAACAATACATACACTCACTTACATAGTAACAATACATACACTCTCATACATAGTAACAATACATACTCGCATGCATAACAACAACACAAAAACTCACTCACATGCATAACAACAACACAAAATCTCACTCACATACATAGCAACAACACAAAAACTTACTCACATGCATAGTAACAATACATACACTCACGTACATAGTAACAATACATACACTCACGTACATAGTAACAATACATACACTCACTTACATACATCTAACAATACATACACTCACGTACATAGTAACAATACATACACTCACTTACATAGTAACAATACATACACCTACATGCATAGTAACAACACATCTAATCACTCACATGAACAAGATATTACACACATTCAACATAGACTAATTATATAAAAGCTCTCATTTTTGTCACAGACTTACCTAGAGACAAAGTGGGTATTGTCTGGACAGAAATCAACACTCAACACCCAGGAGCCATGGCCGGATAATGTTCCTGCTAAATTTGCATGCTGCCTATAAAATTTGAAATAAATCAATCAGCATGCCATCACAAAACAGATTCTTCAGGTTGGTAAGTATGTATTTGTGAATAAGTCTTTCAATTAGAAACGTGTGTAATATTTCAGTGATTACACTCCCTCATCTTCATCAAAGCAAACAATTGTAATACGGCGTTTAATCTCATCATTAATAATAAAATTCATTGAAACTTCACTGTTGTAACTTAGATTGTGAACAGTGTATGGATATCATAATAAATTCTATTAATAATATAATAATAATGATATCATAACAAATAAGGAATTTAAATGCTGATAGTTATATAATAAAGTGGGTAAAAAATATAATGTTTCATTAGTTGACTTTTATTCAAGGAGACTGATCGCTGAGCATTAGTTTTGAATTTTTCAATCATTCTATGATACATATTGGATGTGTTTGGGTTTATAGGGTTTAATGTCCTTACAACAGCTGGTCATATACGGTTGTGTGCCAACAAGGACACCAGGAGTGAAACAAAGCCCAGAAAAATAGAAGGTCAGAAAGAAATGAAGAGGTCAAATACTAAGATTCCCTGATCCCCAAACAACACCCAACCCCAACCCCACCCCCTAATCTGTATCTGCAGGAGAAACTTCCTTATTAGTTGTCACCTGTACAATTGAACTCACTGGGTGTCTTCAATTTCAAAATAGTTAAAACGTTTTGATGATATAACCAATTACCAATATGTGATGCCAAAAATGTCAAAATGAATTCTAAGATTTTTTAAAAATATTGCTAGTAAATAAATTTTCTTATTTTGATTTAATTTCTGGGCTTTATTTTCCACTCTGCCAATCCACTGAGTAAGATTTAGAGTGTTACAATAAACTCAACACACATAAACAAGGTAACATCCAGGAGTTATATAATCACTTTTACTCTCTCCACTACTGGAACATGTCGTAACAAAACAGGAGTTTCCAAGTGAAACACCTTGTGGACGAGATGAAAACTAGTTTGATTCTTTGATGTACATCAGACGAATCTTGATGTCCAATAATGGTGTGTTGTAATGGCTTTGATGTTCCGTTTTCCTCCTTTGTAATCTTCAATAGGAGTGAATCGGCCTGTGATTGGTCAGTGTTTTTCTCTGGGAACCAACCAAATCACTGTGCCTTAAATTTTGGCATGACAAGTTCCAGGAGTGCAGAGAGCGAAAGTAATTGTAACCCCTGGAGTATCGAGGATGTAGTGATCGTAACCCCTGGAGTATCGAGGATGTAGTGACCCTAACCCCTGGAGTATCGAGGATGTAGTGATCGTAGCCCCGTAAGTATTGAGGATGTAATGATCATAACCCCTGAAGTATCGAGGATGAAGTGATCATAACCCCTGGAGTATCGAGGATGTAGTGATCATAACCCCTGGAGTATCGAGGATGTAGTGATCACAACCCCTGGAGTATCGAGGATGTAGTGATCACAACCCCTGGAGTATCGAGGATGTAGTGATCACAACCCCTGGAGTATCGAGGATGCAGTGATCATAACCCCTGGAGTATCGAGGTTGTAGTGATTGTAACCCCTGGAGTATCGAGGATGTAGTGATCATAACCCCTGGAGTATCGAGGATGTAGTGATCATAACCCCATGGAGTATTGAGGATGTAGTGATCATAACCCCTGGAGTATTGAGGATGTAGTGATCATAACTCCCTGGAGTATTGAGGAAGCCATGATAAATGAAGGCATCAATTTATCACAACAGAAGTATTTATGAAAACATATTATTATCAAGGCGATGTCAATATAATATCACAAGCACTTGTCCTAGGGGTTAGGATCAACATTTCTCCTTAGTTATATGGAAAACTCTGTTAGATGGGTAAGAATATAACATCTTCACTCACACATCATAAATTTTGATCTGGTTGTCATCAGATCCAGTAACAAGGAGCTGTGAGTCAGGAGAGAAACACAGGGAACGGATTGGCATAGCATGACCTAAAAAATACAAAGTTGTATTATATAAACTATATGAAAAATAAATTTTTTATGTCAGCCACTATTTTTCATCATTTTTACAAAAGTTTGACAACAAAATCACTTAATAAACATATTTAATCATCATTAATCTAACGCTAAGATCAATGTAGTATTACTTCCTGATATACTGTGTAACACTTAGTTACATACACAGACATAACATACATTTGCGTTTTTTGTTGGAAAAGTGAAATGTAAACTGCATTCAATATCCTGTCAGAACAATATGTAAAAGACTTTGACACAGTATACATAATACACAAAGTGTTCTTCAGAATTACACTTTGTGATTCAATTTTGCAAAATACACATTTCACTTTACTTCAAGATAGAGGAGTAGTATACAGAACATTACACAATAACACTGTACAGAGACCTGGCACAATCTCCATCCCAACAGTAAATAGATTGATGTATAATCTTTATTTATTTTACAACAATTGCAAAACAAGTTATTTCAACTTATACTAATCACTCTTGTTGGCCCGGATGTAAGCATGCGAGGGGTCTTATTGTGGGAGGAAACCGGACCACCCGCAGAAAACCCATGGTGTTGGGCAGATGACCCCTTACTTTTCAATTCCGTTCCAGGAATAAAACCCTGGATGGCTATGTGAAAGGGAAGTGCATTACCATTGCATCACCCGACCACCCAATGATATACATATCAGTATTGGGGATTTTGTTTGTTGGCTGGGTTTATTGCTCTGAGGTCTCCTCCTAGTAACTGGTGTTTAACACACTGAACAATATACAGGAGGCCCTTCACATGCGATAAAAAGCAATTAGAGCAAAGTGTCTTGACAAAGGATACAACCAAATCAGCACAAAGCAGTCATTTTTCAAGATTATGACATGAGGAGGGAGTGTCAAACCTCACTCCTCAGACCTTTGCCTTGATGTTATTTGGTAGACCAATACTCTGACTGACTGGGCTATTACAACCCTTGTGTTCAGGGACAAGTCTCTGTTAAACACAGTAATAGTAGTAGATTAAGTAAATCATTTTACTGCTTCTCATAATTTTCAAAAGACACAAAATAACACAGGATACCAACAGCTAAACCATACAAGTAATTGATTCTGTAAATGTAACCCTGGATAAAATACCAGCTGCTAGAGAGAACTTCTCTTTAGCTGGATCAGTTGAATGCCAGGGGTTCCAGGTTCAAATTCTAGAGGAGGCATAGCAAATAACCATTATCATTGGTAGGATTCAAGCCAGGGACCTCTGGTTCGTCTTGCACTCAACTGATCAAGCTAAGGAGAAGTATATTTACCTGGGCTGCACAACTACAGAGTATAACTGATTTTCTGTTTACCTTCCAGTGTGTGTATAAGCTTGCCAGATTCTATATCAAACACATTGATGATCCCGTCAATAGCTCCACATGCAATATGTCGACCATCGGGACTCTAGAGACGGATACAAGATAAATGATATAATCATATTTGCATATGCAACACAAATTATTCAAAAGACATTCAACAGACTGGAAATATATATCATGTTTAAATTAAAACCTGTTTATTAAGGCCATACAAAGGAACAACAACAAGTGGCCTTTATGCAGAGGTTAACTCACTCTGCATAAAAAACACTGGACCCAAGAATCAGTTGCCTTTTCAGAGAAATAAATTCTTATAGAGGTTATCTTTAAAGTGAGGTATTTATGGTATAGCAGTGATCATTATATACAGGTATTGTTATCTAAAGGTGGCCTTTTATGGCACATATTTGTTTTATACAGGGGTGGCCTCTAAAGACAGGTTATTGATATAGGGGTGGACTCTATAGACAGGTATGTTATGTATAGTAGGTCTATATTGACAGGTGATATTTATGAACTTACAAATGCGAGACTAAGGGTAAACTTCCCCCTGGTGTCCAGGGACTGTTCCTTTCTCCCTGTGTCCACACCAAACATGTTTATCTTCCCACTGTGACTTCCTGATGCCAGAAACTGGGAGTTTGGAGAGAATGCCAGTGTCCAGGCATCAACTGTGAACATACAATCCAATTTTTAAATTATATCTGTTGACAAATTTCTACTCATGAAAAAAAAATCAGTTTCCATCACAATTTTCCCTGTATATCCTGCAATTAACCTATACCTGATTATGTGTCTGTCATTAGTTAATATTGGTCAATAGCATTGCCAACAGATATTTTTTCATAGTCCTGCAAAATGCCTATTACTTGGAGTTTATGATAGCCTTGGGCTTACCGAAGAATCATGGTATGCTTAAACAGAAATGTGTTTTCAAACACGGTAAATAAAGAGTAAATCTTGAATCATAACAAGCTGACAGTTTGTGTTGCAAACAACACAATCTGCTGCCATGCTATAATCAGCATTTATGAAGCAAGTTATCTGGAAACAAAAAATCTTATTTTTAGCAACAGTGACTTCTATAGTTGACTTTTGATCACAAACACAATCAAACACTAGGTCTCCTAAACTAAACTACAACTTTCAAATTTCAGCCTAATCTGCCATCCCTTACTCAAATTATCATCTGGAAACCATCTGGACATGCAGACACACATATGGATGACAACAAACCCTATAGTCCCTTGGACTTATAACAAAATGCTCCTGCAATTGGTAGAACATCTATTACCATACCTGGCCCGGCGTCCATACTCTTAATACACTTGCCCGTCTCTACATCCCAGACTCTGACATGGCTGTCCAAACTGCTGGAGGCGGCCACTGACCATGGTCAAGGTTAAAGTGAGTCATAAAGCTTCCTTTATGTTTTTTTAATATATATTTTTTTAATATATATACATATATGTATTCAAACTAAACATGACAATGGGTAAATATAGTGAGACAGATTTACATTTTTTTTGTTTTGTTTTATATTTATATGTTAAATTGATACAAGATTTTTAAATATTGAGATGCTGTTATGTGTATATAAAAAAGAACAGAATCTTTACTATAACTGTAAAATTGACTCTATTTAGCCCCATTTTGGCAAGCAAGCCTTGTGATGTCAAAGAAATTAAAGTGATCAAGGATACATGTGCCTGATTGGTTCATATCTACAGAGACAACTCCTAGCTGGTGGCCTTCTAACTCATGCTTCAGGTCCAGTTTCTCATCCGACCTATAGAACACAAGTTTTATTATTATTATTACATTCTGAACGGCCCATCACCACATAAAAGGTCATTAGGGCAATCAATCAGTGAAACACACAGCGATCTCAAACACAAGTTTTAAATGTACAATGAAAGCCATATCAACAGAACTAGGAATACTTCATTGTAACACAAACACATTTCTAATGAGACGCACTATGCCAAATAATTCGAGTTAGACATCCAGTATTACAAGTATTACATCTGGTAGACTGTCAAAAGCAATTTAATCTGACTTCAAAGTTTGAATACACTTGATCTATGTCATTAAAATTCCGGAAAAGTTTACATACAGCTCATCTCTTGATATTCTGAACAACACACCAGGACTCTTGTAGTCATTTCGTTAATCAAGATTTAAAATGTTTTCATAGATTTATAATTTCATAGATATGTAAATTGATCAGACTGCCTGGAAAGTTGTTCTATTGTTTGCAGAATGAGTGTTTACAAACCATCTCCAAATCTTGACCATATCATCAATGCCTCCAGTAACAATATTCTCTGTTCTGTCTCTCTCATTCTGTCTCCAGGAACAACTCCATATGCTGTCTTCATGAGCTGCAAGTATGTTTAAAACATCATATTAAATTCAAATACAGGACTTTGGAAAGAGTTCTAAACATCAAATCTCTTATATGTCTGTTAGGACTGCTTATGTAAAACATCAACTGATAATTTTTTTCAGTGAAGTACATGTAGATGTTTCTCTGGGATAGCCTCTAGGAACAAAGAATTACGCACAGTAAGGAAGCAGGTGCAATAGGTGTTGACGGACGCAGATAACCAATTATAAACTGATGAAGATTTTTTAAAACAACTACATTTTCTTTGTGAAGGTTAAAAAACAGAAAATACATTTACACTATCAAGCTTAAGTGGTAAACCTGCTTTTAAGACAAGATAAAATCAGCTCTTGCCTTAGATTTATGCTTAATTATACATGGACCATAAACATTTTGTATATACATATATGACAATTTCGTATTGTCTTCTTGAACTGAAAGATGAGAAATGTACTAAAAATTATTTTCTTACCAGTTCAGTAATTCAATGAATTGTTAACAATTAGTGCATATATGTTCCATTATCTTCTATCAAAGTACAAAAATTTGGATGACTGAAGTCATCAACAGAATCAGGGATAAGATTGATGCACCACTATTTCATGCCTGGTTTTATTTGCTAATGATCAACAAAGGTGAGTTGTGCTTCTCTGGCTTGGACGTGAATTGATTCCTGTAGGGCACTGGTCAAGAAATGGATATATGTTTTTCTTTCACAATGGCATCCTACTAAATCCCACAAGTTGTGGACTTAGAAAGCCAAAACTGTGATAAAATATGGAAAATCTCAAGAAAAACGGGTGTAGTGTAAAAGAAGTAATTCAGTGAGACCTTTTCATGGTGTTAAATTTTGTTACTCTGATGACAGAATATGCCTCTTTGGCTTACAATTGGTAGAACTGTATACCGGTAATATCATATTATCATACAGGGGTCGTGCAGGGTTTTCCATAAGAGCTGGTCGCCGGCCAATTTGACCGGCTACTTTGATCATTTGGCCGCCTACACCAATCCAGTTCCGTAATAATGTTCCGTACACAACTACACGTACACGGCAGGCCAGCCTCCTACTTTCACTACACAGCCTACTACTAACAAAATTATGGAAAACCATGGGACGTGGGTTTGATTCCTGTCTGAACACTTGCCAGGAATGAGTTTATTCCTGTGTTCTTTCACAAAAATAATTAATGATAAATAAATAGAAATAATTCAATCAGATATATGATATTGGCTGAGAAACCTTTAGGTTGTAATAGAGGTCATTATTTATCTCAATCCCTCCGCTTGGATTCGTACTCAGAGCCACTGGATTTCTAGTATAATGCTCCACACATTTCTCGCCAAGCCATATATCATGGCTGGTATTTACCAAGTCACAAGATCAACAAATAATGTAGATGAACTGATGTATGCAGTAAAACGTAGATTTTAATAGTGACTTATACCGAGAGTGATATTGACGTGGAAAGAACGAGCCAAAAATTTTAAAAAATATTTACACATCCTATCAGTCACGATATTGTAACACAAACGTGGAATTCCCAGTAAAGCTTTGCGCCAATGGCAGATAGCATCATGTGGACATAGCTACAAATAGGTCCTGTTCACTGAAATGCTTCATCATGTGTGTATACAAGGGTCCAACTGAATGTGACTAAGTGATTAGCATCTTGGGCGGCAGGGATAAACTATGAAAAACAAAACATTATGAGATATATATTGTTAGGGGACACATTAACAACAATATATTAACTTTAGGTTAAATAATTATGTAATAGCTGCAATATACCACTAGGTTAGAGAGAACTTTTCTTTAGCTTGATTGGTTGAGCATCAGACTAGCTAGTCTGAGGTTCCAGTTCAATTCCTAGCAGAAGCATTCAAATTTATAATGACCTCTGTTACACTGGTGCCCATGTAGGAACCCAGGAATATTTCCACTGTAACCCCTGGACACTTGAGGACAAGTTATTTCCTAGTTGGGGAGTATTTAACCCTGGTAAATTCTGGTCGCAATATACCACTAGGCTAGAGAGAGCTTCTCTTTAGTTGATGGGTTGAGCATCAGGCTAGGAAGCCTGAGGTCTCGGTTTTGAATCCTAATTGATGTGTTTAAATAAATAATGACCTCTGTTACAATTATTAAGATTAAATATTTTGTCGTGTTTATTTACCGCAATAAGATATTAGAGATAATGCTGGTTTCCATGATGAAATAACTTACCTTGTTCTTGTTTGAAAATGATTGAATACTGCAAATAGAAAAAAAAAAACAAGAATTTAACATCAACATAGCCGAGAAGAATGAGAGAAATTATACCTATTCATCCGATATAGCTAATGTTTCGTTGATATACGCAAGCAAACAAAATATCGTGGCAATCTTACAGAAATGTCAGTTTTAAAAATACCAGGATTATTGAATTCGAAAGTAGAGAAATCCTCTCAGTAGCAGCAGCAACATCATCCAAGTAGTGGAGGCTTTCTCAACAATCATCCAGCGACGTTGAACATTTCTCTCCATTGCAAAATTTATAAATTTTGTCAATTTCCTAGTGTCATTTAAAAGAAATTAACCGAATAAATCAAGAATTTGACTACTTTGTTTTCTTACCAACTGGGAAGCCGCCATGCTTGCCAATGAATCCACGTTGATTGCAATGTGTCGTTGACAAGTGCCCGGCCTTAAGTTTCAAACGCTCGTGTGATGCTATATATACTCTCTAAACGCTTTATATACAAATATGTATTTCCAACAAATTTTGAATATAAATGCCACCTTATGTTTGTAAAATGCTAAAACGTAACATATTATACAAACACATATTTTGATCAATCACTTATCTAATTAGCGGTTAAAAACATTGAATGCATTTTGAGAGTATTTTTTAAACGAGAAAACATGGCGACAGCGTAAACAAACTACTGAGAGACTCGTCGAAATATGGTGATTAATATACTTTGACTTATCGTTTTGCTTGTATAACAAAAGAGTTGATTTTTACTATTCTGAAACCAGGTATTTGAGAGATGCAGAAGGGAAAATTGCATTTAGAACAGTAGAGAATGGAAAAACCGATAAACTGTCTTGAATCTGGTTATAAAGGCATATTATTTGTCATGGAAAGAATTGATGCCATTGGACCGGTTTACGCCCAGCAATTCATTTATTGATATTTTTACATACTGTTTGCATGATTCATTTGACTTAAATATCTAACATCATCCAAAATATCATTCTGATTGATCGAATGAAAAGTATTGAAATGCGCCATGAAGGAGAGGAACTTACAAGCACCTGACATATAATGCCAGATTATAATGCAGAACTCTTAACTATTCTGAAGTAAAAGAAATAAGAGTGTTGTCAGGCTCTGCAATGAGGAATATATTTCTTCATCAAAGCCCCATTTTTCAATATCTAGTTATATATGTTGATAACATATATAACGAAATGATAAAATGCTCTTACAAAAATTAGAAAAAACAGGTTTCATTGACATGTTGTATTAAAGTAGGATAGAAATATATTTATCTATATTGAATAAATAAATAGTATCCATCCAATTCAGTTAATTACGCATTTCCTCATAAAATTTACATGTTTATTAGAAAAAACATATTTTTCTCACTGTCTATATATATACATCATCAATATGAGTATGACATATATCTTTGATCATAATAATTGTTAATTAAGAGCTGTTCAAATAATTATACCAATAAAAATGGTAGGCTTTGATTTGCTTATTCTTATATAAGCGCTCTTCATTATAATACCAGCTAGTTTATCTGACATTCTTCGCATGTAATGTAATACACGTAATGACAAAAAATTAGTGATATTGTACATATTTTTCTATACAACGCCAAGATCACCATCGCACTTCAAAAATAAAATAAATGTTCATGTTACGCAGTTATGGGTTTCACTATATATGTAATTTCAAGAAATGAATTGCATTTCTCATTATCATTATAATAATCATGCTGGGCACAACTTGACATGTGACAAATTTATCATGTATTTGAGAGAGAGTTACTGCAATGAGTAAAAATCTTTAAATTTTTGATAGACATCTGTCTTGTCAGCCTCCTTTAGGTATTATCCAAAAGAAAACCTTCCGTATTTGAACAAAAGAAATAGTTTTGATTTACCAAAGTTCACGAAGAGTAACACACAGATTTGGAAAAAACAAATTCCTGCAGAGCATCCTGAGATCTTCAAGTACAAGACACGCACAAAAATCAGCTGACTTCATCAGATAATAGTGCTTTATGTGTCATACATTTGTATGTACACTGTAAACATTCACCCCTCCCCTTTTACATAAGTATAAACAGGAATTTGAATTTAAGAGAGATAAGAATCTGCCTGTGTCTCATTTTAACTCTGAAGCAAACAAATGTGATTTAGCTAGCATTGCTGTGCTTATAAACTATTTCCCCCCAAAATACATTAATAATCTTTTCAAAATAAACAGCAGTAGGAAGCTTGATATTTTCAAAACTAATTGTGCTGACTTTTGTGACAAAACAAATAATATTAACTTTAATATTTATAAAACAGGAGTGCATGTTTAAGGTATTTACAGCTGAAATCACACCCTATTTTTGTAAACCGTTTTCAGTCCAAACTGTGGAGAAAGTAATCCTTAAATAAATGGCATTAATTTTCTGATTCATGTAAGTTTTGTAATATAATACTTTAATTAATTGGTACATATTTTGTTACAAAAATGATTCACTTCTAACTGACGGACAAAATGGCTCTGGTCAGCTTGCTGGTTTATGCAAAGTCTACACTATTTAATGAGGCATAGGTAAATACCATGATAGAGAAGGGACTTGAATGACTTCACATGACGGTGAACAAACGTAAAAACTGAATTATGTTAATATATTCATGCATTCTTTTCCATGTAATAACAATTTCCCTAAAATTTATTCTGTATTAAAAACTGACAATTGACAAACTTAACAAATTGGTTCTTTACAGGTGAGAAGAAGTTGACTAAAGCACTGAAAAAGCAGAATAATTGAAGAAGAAAAAAACAAAAACAACAAATCAGATAATCCTAACAGAGAAAGCATGTCCGAAGAAGAAGATTATTCAGCAGAGGAAGGCCGGCCAATGGTCATTGAGGTTAAAAGAACCAAAAGGCCATCATCACGGACACAAGGTCGGATGCTTGGACCAAAAGGCCATGATGATGAAGATGATTACAGATGACTATGATGACACAAGGTCGGAGGTCAGCTCCAAAATTAAATCTAAAACGTGCTGCCACCACGATTAGAATGATATCCAGAGCATGGGCAGGACCTTGCTCAAGACACCAAGAACACCAAAAACCCAGCGAAGTCAGCATAACGATGATGATGAAGATGATTACTCAGATGACTATGATGAAGAGTAAGATTTGTTACTTATCATTATACATCTTCTGGTTAAAGTTCCTGATGAAGCCTCGAATAGAGGCGAAACTAATAGACAATTAAGTAAAGTACCCACTAACTGGTGACACTTGTTCTTGTTGCGATTAATTCTCTAACGCATTAGAATTCTCCTCCGGAACACCTCTGACCTCTAGAACTAACACTCGCTTCCAGAACTAAAATTCTCCTCCGGAACTAAATCTGACCTCTAGAACTAACACTCGCTTCCAGAACTATAATTCTCCTCCAGAACTAAATCTGACCTCTAGAACTAACACTCGCTTCCAGAACTATAATTCTCCTCCAGAACTAAATCTGACCTCTAGAACTAACACTCGCTTCCAGAACTAAAATTCTCCTCCGGAACTAAATCTGACCTCTAGAACTAACACTCGCTCCAAACTAAATTCTCCTCCAAACTAAATCTGACCTGCTGCCACAACTCCTCCAGAACATACCTCTAGAACTAACACTCGAACTAAAATAAATCTGACCTCTAGAACACCACTAGAAGAACTGAAACATCCCTTCTACTCTAAAACTATAATGTTCCTCCAGAACACACCTCCACAACTTAACATATCTACAGAACTAAAATAGACCACTAGAACTGAAACATCCCTTCAGAACAACACTATACCTCCAGAAATGAAATACACCTAAAACATACCAAGTGTTTCCAAACCTATAAACATTTCACTCTTATGCAAATCTACTTTAGGCAAGTTAAACATTTTAGGTTAAAGTATTAGAAAAAAGTAATATCACTGTATTAGAGAGTGTACTTCAGTGTATATTGAACAAACAGTTAATAGTCTATGATGTAATTGAGGAGTAACTACATAAAAATTGAAAGTTCTACCTGATTTTAACTGATAATTTATGATGGACTCTATAGCATTTCCAATTAACATTAGCCTGGCACCAAGGTATGTTTTGGTTTAGAGTCTGATATCTTAACAAATGTCATCTTCCACCTTCAGTATGGATGATGAGAATGAAGAGATGATGGAGGAAGCACCTCGCACATCACACATTACGCATAGACCAAAAAACGGACGCAAGAAGGTTAATACAACACCTCCAGATCGCCTGCTGAAGAGTTCCACAAAGAAGGCTAACAAATTCCTTGAACAGGGCAAGGTGAGGGGCTACCTATATTGTTATTAGGGTCCTGGTATAATGTGACATTTTGAATATATGAATATATGAATTGGATTTTAATTATATTACAATATTCTGAAAGAAAATCATTTTAATGCATCACTAAAATTTATGTTAAAACTATTATTAACATAACATGTAAGATAGAAACTTTGGTTATCACAAGGAGTGAAGGCAGGAGTTATTTAGTCGTTGGTAGAATTTACACTTTGATAGTTGAGTCTACAGATGACTGGTTTACTCTCTACTGCCGTCACACAGAAAGGAGAGTTCACTCAGGAAAATAATTCTGACAGTTTATACCTTACTGTCTCGTTTAACTTCTAATTACTACAGGTAGACAAAGGAATCCAAGAATATGTCAAGTGTATAGCATATGCCAGGATGGTCCATGGTGCTGACAACTGGAGACTGGCTCAGTGTTACGCTGATTTGGCAGAGGCCTACCTTGATCACAAATGTGAGGAACATTAAAAATCTTGTCCAGTTTTTACAATAAAAATGTTTTTCTGGATTTTTTCTTTCATAAAATCTTAATTTAAGATTACATCAGATCTACAATCTTCCTAGGGTAAATTGCATATGAGTTTTCATTTTAATGCCTTAATTTATTTTACAATAAATATATACCTGATAGTGAACCCTCCTATGTACAGATATAAGTACTTTTCATCTCATTCCAAACAATATAGACCAACAACATGGTGATTTCCTGTCTTTGTTTTGTATATGTGTAAAGATATGAAGATGAATGGGCATTAATAAATGTATGAATTCAGTTGAAGTGTGACACAAAATGAAATTGCTGCATCATATCTTTGTGATTATGTTACAGCATACGCTGCACAGGCTGATTATCACACAGACAACGGTAAAGCTATTCTCCTTAACTCCCCGCCAATGATTACCACGGAGACAGAGAAAGCCAATGTTTACACTGTTTTGTTCAGACTCTATTACACTAAAGGTCGGGCCTTGACCTCTTTGAAGAAGTATCCAGAAGCTGAACAGATCCTCTCCAAGGCAGATAAATTTCTTGCCGACATTTTCAAGATGTCATGTGTGACTCAGGATGAATGTGATGAAATGGAAATTGATATTTCACATGCTAAAGCAAGGTAACATTACAGTATAATGAACCATGGAGGTTTTTGGTTTGCAGAAAACAAGATCACAGACTGTCCTGATTAGGGTTTCCAGTCTGACATTTTTCCCTGATGTCCTGTGCCTTCCACAGTATTTTCAGTGAGGTGTCCACCAGCTTATATAAAACTGAATTCTGTTGAAATAAACATGACCGCCTGGTTTTGTGAAATCCAACTTTTCCACCTGCTCACTTTCTAAAACTTGATGCTCTGTCAGCCACTTCATTGGTAGCATGCCACTACACAATACTTCATCTACAATGTCTGCTTAATATGTCATGGCCTTATTTCAAGTCAGATTGTGTGCTTGCTCCCTAGGCTTATTTCAGAATTGATACAGAAACAGCTGTCAAATTTTGTATGGGATTATTATCAAGAAGTTGTGAGGTTTTCGTGTCCTATTTTTTATTTATGGGTATTTGCCGGAGTGTCTCTCAATACATTTCACTACCTCAGACTGCTTTTGTGTAACTTGACAGAAAAGGTCCAGTTGGCACATATGTATTTCTTTATAAATGAACACACTTGTTAAGTATGGTTGAATTGTTACTTGTAAAGGTCAAAGTGTACAGTTTCAGAATTTTCTGTCAAACATTTAACAGTGAACCAATAGTAAACTATGTTTCAGCTAACCCTGTACTGTATATTTTTCAAAATATTTATGGCATCAACCTTGCTGAAACTCGAAAAACAAATTATATTCAACCAGTTAGTCTCAGACAGGAATGTTTACACCCTTAAACCACATGTGCCAAATATTCCACAATTCAGCATCAGTCCCCTGTGCCTGGCATTTCTCTCGCTGGTTCAGCTGGGTCTGGTGATAGCGGGCTCATGGGGTGGTGGACTGCTTTCATTGTTTTACATTATACCATACATATGAAATACATTCACCATTGTATGTTGCTGTTCAGTGAAAATAATAACTAACAAATGGTATCTCGCCTTCGACAGTTTCAACCTTTACTTTAAACTTCTAGTCTTACTATAGTCCTTGATGAATACATGACTACCATATAGACCTGGTAATTAATTATCATTAGGAGTTGTCTCCTTTGCCCATCACAATTGGCTAATGAAATTTGATTATTTGTCATAGAATTGGAAGATAAACACATAGACTTGATATACATTTTTATTGTTTTGTAGACTTTATTGGAAACAAAAGAAGCATGCCCTTGCCAGCAGCCAGTATGACAAACTACTGGACCAGATGGAGGCTCACTATGGCAAAGACAGTATGGAATTGGTGCCTGTTTACCAGGAAAATGGACAGATATCCTTATAATTACAATGAATCATTTTAGTTGGATAAGGGTTGGATACACTGTTACTGTTTATTCTTTTGTCTCGTTTGGAATTAATGTCTTGAAAACCTCTCAACAGGATTGGTATATAATTACACTGTGATATCATAATGGCAGCTTCTCCATCTGATAAGATTTTGGTTTGTGGCATTCATTTCCTATACACATTTTCTGTTTTCTTTAGCAAGTCAGAATTTTCTCTAAAGAACTAAAAGATGGATCCTTGTCAAATATCATATCTCTCCTTAACCCCTATTTGTGCATGTTCAGTTTTGGGACAGACTAGAAAATGGCAAACAGTTGAATTTAAAAGTTTTTAATCAATACTTCTTTAGAAGTATTTGATGGATCTTTCTCAAATTTTCTACGTAAATTCACCTGGGATCCTTGATCTGTACATTTGTTTCAATAGAAGAGAAAAAAAGATCCAACTGATAAAGAGCTAAATGGTCGCCATGATCTTTCTGGGATCTTTGGTTTAGATATTTCTCATATTAATTCTTATCCTACTGTAAAATCTATGGTTTTTGTGAGAGATTTATTTTCATTAATTTTGTTGGTTCTCTTAATCCACAAACTCTTATTTCACCTGACTTTTAAGATAAGCATAAATAGATATATTGTTCTATATTTATCCACAAAATCAAGTGTTAACACAACAGTAATTTTTGAATATCCAAACAAACCAAAATGTATATCTTCAAATTCTGCACACTACACATTCCTAATGGTTACACAGAATTACTATCATCTAATGTAAATCCAGAAATTTGAAATTTAATATTAAGTTGCCACATTACGTAATTTAATCTATGCCGAAGATATGTAAAATGTGAAAATTAAAATACAATGACTGACAAGGTTGATTCATCCTTAACGGTAGCCACCTGGAACAGAGTAAAGGTCGACATGCAAACCATGACAAAGCCATAGAGATGTACCTACAAGCCCACTCTATTGCAGGTGCCAAGTAAGTGTTATAATTTACTGTTCTACACAAACATTTGTATGATAGGATGATTTTTACATTTTCCTGAAAGTTGAAAAAAAATGTAGGTAAAGTTTCAGACAAAGGGTGTTGATTGATTCTTAGCAAAAGTTTAATTATAAGATACACTGTCATTTAAAAAGGTACACACTGCAAGCAGGCAATAATGATATATTGCTAAAGAGCAAATTCTCTCTTACACATGACATACATTTATCTTTATAGGATTGAAATAAGGAACTCAAAAAAGTTTCCACAACAAATGTTATTCTTTAGAATCCATATTTCAATAATTTGCACTACATATTCCAGTCAAAATTCTGCTTGAACTTTTGGATGATATAAATCGCTGTTTATTTCCCCTAAAAATTATACAAAACATATGAAAACATATTTTTTCATTTTAGTTACCATGAAGAAAACCTTGTTACTATGGATACTGCTCTTAGTTTAGCAAGGGCCTATTCTCAAACTGGAAGGGAGGAAGCTGAAGGTAATATAGTGGTAATCTAAGTAGATTGTAAGATAGTGAACTTTGGGAGAAGGTTGCTGGGAGTCTGGATCCTGAAAGCTCTTGTAATTGATACCATGATATATGCGTGTGATCAGGCATGTTTCTGTACAATCCAGTGTTGGCTGACTAGGAAGTTGGTAAATTAGTCTATATATCTCGTAGTGTAAATTGGACTTTTTTAGCGTCCTTGAGATTTTAGCAGATTTGTGAATGGCATGAATCTAGAAAAATAAAGATGTCTAAGATATATTTTTTGCATCAATTTATTTGGCAGTCTTGAAGAACCGGAAAAACTGATATAGTTAACAATAAATGTTCTGGAGAATTAATTTTTTTATAAATGACCATCCATTCCAATTTGATAAAAACACAATTATGCAAAATCTACATTTATTACAATTACGATATATCACAATGTTTAATTGAGGTACCAGAAGGGTGACTCAGAGGTGTAACAGATATAAATGTTGTTTGTAGTTTGTATAACAAACTCATGCAACAAATTCACACCCTAAGATAATCATTCCAAGTTATTTTTTTCTGTCTCTTTAATGTGTATTATTTGTGTGTTTTATCAGGAGTGGCAGAAAAATATTTAAATGAATGTCTAGCAATTTGTCAGACGTGTCATGGTTCTAATCACAAGAAAACATTGGAAGTCATGGATGAATTAGCACGACTACTGGTCCGTGTTGACAGGCAAGAGGTAAATAGTCTGGAAAAGAATGAAGACTCATTCAAAATATCTATTGTGTGTCATGTAAAAAATTGAATAGGATTGACTGATTAAATTCTTAAATATCTTTGTTGCTTCAGAGGCATTTTTTAAAATCAAGATAAGGATAGGCACAAGATATATTCAAGATATTTGTATAAAGATAATAAAAACAGTGGGCAAGACTTTCAAAGCACTATTTTGGCAACAACCAAAGCGAAAACCTGTAGGATCTAAAATTTGGATATCATAAGGAGTGAAGGCAGGAGTTATTTAGTCTTTGGTAGAATTTACACTTGTGATAGTTGTGTCTACAGAGGACTGGTTTACTCTCTACTGTCATCACACAGAAAGGAGAGTTCACTCAAACAAATAATTCTGACATTATTGTACACAAGTGGATTGCTATTTTCTATTCAAATTTAGAATTTGATACACTGCATAAATAACCAAACAAGGAATAAACTACATCATTCAACTGTGCCGTCTTTTTAGGATTAGTAAAGGGCCTGATGCTAGGGGATTTATTGTTGAAATCTATGAGACAACTGAGAAAAATTAAACAAATGTAAAACTGAGAATGGGAGGTGTTCTAAGTGTGAAAAGAGTTCAAATATAGGTGGTTTGTAGAATGCACTAAAAAGTGAGTATTGGCAAGTGCTTGAAAATGCTATTAAAAACATTTTGCTTAATGTATTCTAAGTATCTGAAGTTGATTTTGGATAGTGTAAACTGCTGAGAAATTCTTGATAATTTTGATTAATTACAGTGATTTTTTTAAAGCTGGATAATTTTGAACAATTTTATTCTTGGTTTGAATTATCTAAACGAAAAAGTCACTGTTAATTTGTGTTCCCAGGAATCCTTGAGTATCTTGCGCTCCAGTCTGCCCGGAAAGTGTGAAGCTTACGGAGATTACTCAGAACAGGTTTCTGATACATACAAACTCATTGCCTCAGTACATCTGTCTGGCAGTGCTACAGAGAAGGCCATCAGAGCTTATCAAAAGGTAACGCAAGGATTATTTCCCTTGTTTAGAATTGTGATCTATGGCTGATGTTGTAACTTGTTTAGTGTATCCTAGAGAATTTTAGATAGATGTTAATACATGGATAGAGAATTTCACTATGGAATCCCAAGTCAGGATCTTACTTGTAGGATTCGAGGTAGTAGTTTTCTCTTTGAAATGACCTTTAACCCTGTATTACATGTGGTGGGCCTCTCATATGTTGATCAGTAAAGTAGCCATCAACTACTGCATGTACACAAGGAAACCTCACCTCAAAATCATCCTAGCTGTTCAATGGGCGATGAAACAGCAAATAAATAAACGTAAACATAAGCCTGTCACCAGAATGTTACACAAAACACCACATGTCCTTATTGTGTAAATGTACTGGCTCAAAAGACCAAACTGTAGGAGGTCTTTACAGATTGAAGTAAATCATATCCAGCACTTCTGTCCTATTGATAAAATTATTACAAGATTCACTCGGTCAAAATATTTAGATTACCATACACCTTAAAATGATAAACATGAGCATATTTTGTAAAAAAGTTTCCCTCTTGTGTGTTTCGTGCTATAACCAATAAAAACAAATACTAGCATTGTGTAAAAGAAGTCATTATTCCTCTCCGCTAGGATTTTAACCTGAGACCCCTGGCTCACTAGTCTGACACTCAACCAATCAAGCTAGAGAGGAGTTCTCTCTAGCCTAGCGGTACTTTGCAGCTAGCATTTACCAGAGTTACAATTGGAACAAAATTTTGATTAAAGCTATAACAATTAAATTTCTATAATTTACAAAGTTTTACTTAAAGATTATAAAGTATTGCTACCTGTATAAAATACAGTCTTCATTTTTTAATATCTATCTTTGTTGTGTTTGTTAACAGTGTCATAACATCGAGTGTCTGGTCCTAGGAAAGAATTCCAAAAAGGCGAAAGATTCTGAACGTACAATAGAGATACTTATGGCGTAAGTATGACAACATTACTGAGAAAAACGCTTTAAATCTTCTACCAGTAGGAATTGATATGTTCTGAAAGATTATCAATACTGATTTCCAGTTATTCGGTTTAACCTTGTAAATTTTTGTTGTGATTGTTTCTGTATGTTTTTCTTCAAATCATGATGGTAGTAAGTTTACCACCTCTGTGTTATGATTATGGGCAGTTAACCACCTCTGTGTTATGATTCTGGTCAGTTTACCACCTCTGTGTTATGATTGTGGTCAGTTTACCAACTCTGTGTTATGATTATGGGCAGTTAACCACCTCTGTGTTATGATTGTGGTCAGTTTACCACCTCTGTGTTATGATTGTGGTCAGTTTACCACCTCTGTGTTATGATTGTGGTCAGTTAACCACCTCTGTGTTATGATTGTGGTCAGTTAACCACCTCTGTGTTATGATTGTGGTCAGTTTACCACCTCTGTGTTATGATTGTAGACAGTTTACCACCTCTGTGTTATGATTGTGGTCAGTTTACCATCTCTGTGTTATGATTGTGGTCAGTTTACCATCTCTGTGTTATGATTGTGGTCAGTTTACCACCTCTGTGTTATGATTGTGGTCAGTTTACCACCTCTGTGTTATGATTGTGGTCAGTTTACCATCTCTGTGTTATGATTGTGGTCAGTTTACCATCTCTGTGTTATGATTGTAGACAGTTAACCACCTCTGTGTTATGATTGTGGTCAGTTTACCATCTCTGTGTTATGATTGTATTGTGGTCAGTTTACCACCTCTGTGTTATGATTGTGGTCAGTTTACCATCTCTGTGTTATGATTGTGGTCAGTTTACCACCTCTGTGTTATGATTGTGGTCAGTTTACCACCTCTGTGTTATGATTGTAGACAGTTTACCACCTCTGTGTTATGATTGTAGACAGTTTACCACCTCTGTGTTATGATTGTAGACAGTTTACCACCTCTGTGTTATGATTGTAGACAGTTTACCACTTCTGTGTTATGATTGTAGACAGTTTACCACTTCTGTGTTGTGATTGTAGACAGTTTACCATCTCTGTGTTATGATTGTGGTCAGTTACCATCTCTGTGTTATGATTGTAGACAGTTTACCACCTCTGTGTTATGATTGTAGACAGTTTACCACCTATGTGTTATGATTGTAGACAGTTTACCACTTCTGTGTTGTGATTGTAGACAGTTTACCACTTCTGTGTTATGATTGTAGACAGTTTACCACTTCTGTGTTATGATTGTGGTCAGTTTACCACCTCTGTGTTATGATTGTAGACAGTTTACCACTTCTGTGTTGTGATTGTAGACAGTTTACCACTTCTGTGTTATGATTGTAGACAGTTTACCATCTCTGTGTTATGACTGTGGTCAGTTACCATCTCTGTGTTATGATTGTGGTCAGTTTACCACCTATGTGTTATGATTGTGGTCAGTTTACCACCTATGTGTTATGATTGTAGACAGTTTACCACTTCTGTGTTATGATTGTAGACAGTTTACCACCTCTGTGTTATGATTGTAGACAGTTTACCACTTCTGTGTTATGATTGTGGTCAGTTTACCACCTCTGTGTTATGATTGTAGACAGTTTACCACTTCTGTGTTGTGATTGTAGACAGTTTACCACTTCTGTGTTGTGATTGTAGACAGTTTACCACCTCTGTGTTATGATTGTAGACAGTTTACCACTTCTGTGTTGTGATTGTAGACAGTTTACCACTTCTGTGTTATGATTGTGGTCAGTTACCATCTCTGTGTTATGATTGAGGTCAGTTTACCACCTCTGTGTTATGATTGTGGTCAGTTTACCACCTCTGTGTTATGATTGTGGTCAGTTTACCACCTCTGTGTTATGATTGTAGACAGTTTACCACCTCTGTGTTATGATTGTGGTCAGTTTACCACCTCTGTGTTATGATTGTAGACAGTTTACCATCTCTGTGTTATGATTGTAGACAGTTTACCACTTCTGTGTTATGATTGTAGACAGTTTACCACTTCTGTGTTGTGATTGTAGACAGTTTACCATCTCTGTGTTATGATTGTGGTCAGTTTACCACTTCTGTGTTATGATTGTGGTCAGTTTACCACTTCTGTGTTATGATTGTGGTCAGTTTACCACCTCTGTGTTATGATTGTAGACAGTTTACCATCTCTGTGTTATGACTGTAGACAGTTTACCACCTCTGTGTTATGATTGTAGACAGTTTACCATCTCTGTGTTATGACTGTAGACAGTTTACCACCTATGTGTTATGATTGTAGACAGTTTACCACTTCTGTGTTATGATTGTAGACAGTTTACCACTTCTGTGTTGTGATTGTAGACAGTTTACCATCTCTGTGTTATGATTGTGGTCAGTTTACCATCTCTGTGATATGATTGAGGTCAGTTTACCACTTCTGTGTTATGATTGTGGTCAGTTTACCACCTCTGTGTTATGATTGTAGACAGTTTACCATCTCTGTGTTATGACTGTAGACAGTTTACCACCTCTGTGTTATGATTGTAGACAGTTTACCATCTCTGTGTTATGATTGTAGACAGTTTACCACCTCTGTGTTATGATTGTAGACAGTTTACCACCTCTGTGTTATGATTGTAGACAGTTTACCACTTCTGTGTTATGATTGTAGACAGTTTACCACCTCTGTGTTATGATTGTAGACAGTTTACCACCTCTGTGTTATGATTGTAGACAGTTTACCACCTCTGTGTTATGATTGTGGTCAGTTTACCACCTCTGTGTTATGATTGTAGACAGTTTACCACCTCTGTGTTATGATTGTGGTCAGTTTACCACCTCTGTGTTATGATTGTGGTCAGTTTACCACCTCTGTGTTATGATTGTAGACAGTTTACCACCTCTGTGTTATGATTGTAGACAGTTTACCACCTCTGTGTTATGATTGTAGACAGTTTACCACCTCTGTGTTATGATTGTGGTCAGTTTACCACCTCTGTGTTATGATTGTAGACAGTTTACCACCTCTGTGTTATGATTGTAGACAGTTTACCACCTCTGTGTTATGATTGTGGTCAGTTTACCACCTCTGTGTTATGATTGTAGACAGTTTACCACCTCTGTGTTATGATTGTGGTCAGTTTACCACCTCTGTGTTATGATTGTAGACAGTTTACCACCTCTGTGTTATGATTGTGGTCAGTTTACCACCTCTGTGTTATGATTGTAGACAGTTTACCACCTCTGTGTTATGATTGTAGACAGTTTACCACCTCTGTGTTATGATTGTGGTCAGTTTACCACCTCTGTGTTATGATTGTAGACAGTTTACCACCTCTGTGTTATGATTGTAGACAGTTTACCACCTCTGTGTTATGATTGTGGTCAGTTTACCACCTCTGTGTTGTGATTGTAGACAGTTTACCACCTCTGTGTTATGATTGTAGACAGTTTACCACCTCTGTGTTATGATTGTAGACAGTTTACCACCTCTGTGTTATGATTGTGGTCAGTTTACCACCTCTGTGTTATGATTGTAGACAGTTTACCACCTCTGTGTTATGATTGTAGACAGTTTACCACCTCTGTGTTATGATTGTGGTCAGTTTACCATCTCTGTGTTATGATTGTGGTCAGTTTACCACCTCTGTGTTATGATTGTAGACAGTTTACCACCTCTGTGTTATGATTGTGGTCAGTTTACCACCTCTGTGTTATGATTGTGGTCAGTTTACCATCTCTGTGTTATGATTGTAGACAGTTTACCACCTCTGTGTTATGATTGTAGACAGTTTACCACCTCTGTGTTATGATTGTGGTCAGTTTACCACTTCTGTGTTATGATTGTGGTCAGTTTACCATCTCTGTGTTATGATTGTGATCAGTTTACCATCTCTGTGTTATGATTGTGGTCAGTTTACCACCTCTGTGTTATGATTGTGGTCAGTTTACCACCTCTGTGTTATGATTGTGGACAGTTTACCACCTCTGTGTTATGATTGTGGTCAGTTTACCACCTCTGTGTTATGATTGTGGTCAGTTACCATCTCTGTGTTATGATTGTGGTCAGTTTACCACCTCTGTGTTATGATTGTAGACAGTTTACCACTTCTGTGTTATGATTGTGGTCAGTTTACCACCTCTGTGTTATGATTGTAGACAGTTTACCACCTCTGTGTTATGATTGTAGACAGTTTACCATCTCTGTGTTATGATTGTAGACAGTTTACCACCTCTGTGTTATGATTGTGGACAGTTTACCACCTCTGTGTTATGATTGTGGTCAGTTTACCACCTCTGTGTTATGATTGTGGTCAGTTTACCACCTATGTGTTGTGATATTTATGCTGTAGCACCCGAAGTTATCTTACTGTTGTTGTTTTTTTCAAGGTGGAATAAAAACTCAAAAATTGATTTCCATGAAAAAAAAAATCTTACTTTGTGTTATAACAGTGGGTAAAACTGATAGAATTGAACTGTAAAAACAACCTTCTCAGTTCAACATACAAGTCTTTGGCTCAAAAGATAAGATTGACTTTAAAAACTATTTGAAATGGATCAAGATTTTTTAGAAATCCTTGATTGTCCAAAAAACAATACATCATGTATTTCCTATGTTTAGAATAGGTGGACAATACATACTGTTCTGACATTTGTGTTTGTTTTTATAAGTAAATAAACTGACTGTGTATTAAAACATTTCCTTTTTAAACTTCCACAGGAGTCCTGGGCTCTCCAACAAGTTCTCACTCAGTAAATCAGAAGAATTGAAAAAACGACCAAAGTTTAATTCCATTGTAAACCGTAGCAAGCCAATGACGGGAACGTAGACCTACGCTTTAGTCGTGTAATAGACAATGACTGTCTTTTTCTTCGGTCATTCCATTATCACTGGTGAGAAGATTTTCAAGTGCTGCTGAAATTTGTCACCAAATGCAGTGATGACAGTGTATATGTGATGAATTGATTCCGTCCTAAATTTATCAAGATGTTGAGACTGTAGCCATGGTTACATTTCATATGCCAGTAGATAAATGAAATAATACTTCTAGTTGTAAGCTCAACTGGCCCAAAGGGCCAATTTAGCTATTGGTATACCACTGTGTCTGTCTTCTGTCCATCAACTTTTTCTACAAATCACTAATAGTCATGAAAATTTGAGAGGATTTTGACCAAATTTTGTCAGAAGCATCCTTTGGAGAAGGGGAACATAGTTTGTATAAATGATTGGTCTCATTATTAGGATATGGTTATGGATTATTGAAGCAAGTATATTACCTAGAATATTTGCTCAAAATTATTAAGAACTAAATATTGACTTTGCATAAATTGAAACAATAGTGTTGTTGTAAGTCTAGAAATCAAATATCTCAATGAATCAAACCCCTCTTGATTGACATAGCATGGGGAACTTGTAAAATTAAAATTAAGGTAGTTTTTTTAGACCAATTTCACTGCATTTTGTAGATTTGAAAGTAGACAAAATAAATATCTATGTTAGGATTAGAGTTCAAATTCTAAGTACATGTATTACATTGAAAAATAAAACTTAAAAGTAGAAATAGATGTTGTAGAATCATTTTCTCTTATACTTTACAGTTAGTTAACTTCCTGGGCTAAATATTACATGGTTGTCCCTGTTTCGGTTAGTTCATATGTATTACATTTTTATACATCTATCAGTTTATATCAGTGTATACCTGTTGGGCAGAACGTCTTTTTCCTTATATTTTGATTCATTTTAAAATTATTTATTTTCATTCTTCTTAATTAACTGCAAATATAGCGAGATTAAATTCCCCACAAATATTACAAACTCTACAGTTTTATGTAGATCTCTGTTACTAGACTCCAGTCAGCATGTGGTAAACTGAACTTCAATTCCTGAATTCACTAGTTATTTTCTCTATGATCATTTCTCCATTTCACTTTCTTTTTTCTAACAGTACAGCAATCATAACTATTTAAGCTAAACTTGCCACACTTTCAGTTTATTTTCAAACCGTGTGTAATTAACAATTTTTCATCACACTACCAAACGGCAGTCTAATTCTGTATATAATGCTGCTATCATTCAAGACACTGCTCTGCATCAATACAATCCCTAGAGAGACTATAATTTCAAATGTGCCAAAATTTGAGTGCTTACTCTTTAAACAACTTAAGCTGATAGATATATTCAGTTTGAACAGGCAACTATACTCTGAAAAAATTGACAAACTCATCAGTGATAGTTTATAAAATATTTTATTATCATTGATATTTACTGTGCATACAATTTTTTCTTAAATCACTATGGTCATATTTCAGTGTGATATTTAAACAAGGTAATGTAAAATGTATTCATACCAAACACTCAACCAAGTCATCTCCAGCATCCTAACATAAACATCTATATTCCGACCTGTCAGAATAGGTGATCATGTTTTTACTCTGAAAATTTCTCAGAAATATGTAACAATGCAGTTGCAATTGCAGATATAATATCTGTATATTTGGTCTGACGAAAATGACAAAATGCAATATATTCCTGTGATGACTACATACCGGTATTAGGAATCATGTTAGTGATCATTTGTAATTGCAGACTTCACTGTCTTTTTCCCTTTAATTTATATTTTTAAAAATTATGTAGTCTTCTAGATCCACTAAACTATGTTTTATTTCATGAATTGAAAGGTTCAGTGAATAATTCCAGAATTAAATATACAGGATATTTGTTAGTGGGGTTGGGGTAGTGGAGAGGAAGACATTGTTTGTTTGTAACCCAAACACAAAGATATTAAAACTTTCAACCCTCATGATGATGTTCTTGTTTTTACTCCATATATCAGTACCAGTACTGGTAATAAATTAATAAAATTAAATGACAGACATTCAGATCTACCCTTTTTCTTGTAAAACAAGTATTTATTATTTATAGAATATCTTAAAAAAAGACAAAATGTTTTGTTGGAGTCTTTTTTCAGCTGAAGCAAATAAAATATTTTCAGTATAAATTATTAACTTGTAAATAGTGTTTCTAACTATCCAGAGATAGAAATTAACATTGTGATGGTCACACTTTAGGAATGCCCAGTTCTGTCCCAATTTGTTTCTGAAGCATTCTCGGTAAAGGGGGATACAGTTTCTACAAACGATTGGTTGTGACCTTTGGTGCAGGAGAGGCAAAGTTCAAATGGTCAAATAAAGCAAATTCTCTGAAATCCCTTCTCTTTTGTAGGAATGAGTTGGATTTTGTCCAAATTAGGTCTGAAGCTTTCTTAGGTGACAGGGACTTAAAATAAAAAGTCATCTGTAGGCAGCTGAAAGGGAATCAAACTGCAGATCTTGCCCCTTGAGCACACACTTATACATGGTGGCTAACATTCTTGAAACATTTCTGTGTAGTTTTTTATGAAATTGCTCCACAAGCTTTGGAGGAGTTATCTGGACAGTGATCAGTTTGTAAGAAAATCTGTTCATAGTGATCAGTTGCTATGGCAACCAAAAGATTTGGAACAAAACATTTGCATGCACATCTATACATGTTAGCTAACATTACTGTTTCATTTAAATTGCAAGCTTAGGAAGAGTTGTCAGGATAAGTTTGTTTTAGGGATAGACAGAGAGACAAGCTGATTCCAGTATACACCCCTCCACCCTTAACTTTGTTTCAGGAGGAGGGCAGGAGCTAATTATTAAAAATAAACATTTAAACATTTGAGAAACTGAATGTTTGGTCAAGCACAATATCATCAAAGTTAAAGATACTTTCAAATTACTCAAACACTCACAACACTCAAAATGACAAGACATTACACACAAAGTGCATTTTCATTCATAAATCTCTTGGCCTGCCCCAAACACTCATTTCACCAATAGAATGTCTTTGGTGAAAGCATCATGAGAACAGTATCAAAACAAATGAATGGTGGCAAGTGGTGGTGGTATTATTGATCCAATATATTCAGCACCGCATCATCCTACACATAACAGCCATCTGTAATATACAATAGATACTGTCAAAACAATACAAAGCTTATACAGTAATTAGAAGTGTTTTCCTGAAGACTGTATACTTGTCAACTCTCCCTGTGTATTTGAAAAACTCGACTTTTGTTAAGTGTAAATTTTTTGCCATTAATTTCAAAAAATTAAATTTGCACACCAAAAAAGATTTGCAAATGAAGGTCTATGAATTTACATTCCTGAAGTTTTATTTGTTTGGATTGCAAAATGAGTTCGTAAATATTGAGATTGGTAATGTATTATTTAAATACTGTAACATTGTACAATATCATACATTCTTCCATGAACTACATTCACAGTGATTGACTTGCAAAAGACACATAAGTGAGATCTACATCTTTCAGTGAAGAATTAGATAAGAAGAGCCAAATAAGGAAGTAAACTGAATCATACAGATGTTTTGTCCTTATAGGACTGTCAATGATGGTACATCATACAGATGTTTCATCCTTATAGGACTGTCAGTGATGGTACATCATACAGATGTTTCGTCCTTATAGGACTGTCAGTGATGGTACATCATACAGATGTTTGGTCCTTATAGGACTGTCAGTGATGATACATCATACAGATGTTTTGTCCTTATAGGACTGTCAGTGATGGTACATCATACAGATGTTTCGTCCTTTTAGGACTCGTCAGTGATGGTACATCATACAGATGTTTTGTCCTTATAGGACTGTCAGTGATGGTACATCATACAGATGTTTCGTCCTTATAAGACTGTCAGTGATGGTACATCATACAGATGTTTCGTCCTTATAGGACTGTCAGTGATGGTACATCATACAGATGTTTCGTCCTTATAGGACTGTCAGTGATGGTACATCATACAGATGTTTGATGGTACATCATACAGTGTTTCCTTATAGGACTGTCAGTGATGGTACATCATACAGATGTTTCCTTATAGGCCTTATAGGACTGTCAGTGATGGTACATCATACAGATGTTTCGTCCTTATAGGACTGTCAGTGATGGTACATCATACAGATGTTTCGGCCTTATAGGACTGTCAGTGATGGTACATCATACAGATGTTTCGGCCTTATAGGACTGTCAGTGATGGTACATCATACAGATGTTTCGTCCTTATAGGACTGTCAGTGATGGTACATCATACAGATGTTTCGGCCTTATAGGACTGTCAGTGATGGTACATCATACAGATGTTTCGGCCTTATAGGACTGTCAGTGATTGTACATCATACAGATGTTTGGTCCTTATAGGACTGTCAGTGATGGTACATCATACAGATGTTTCGTCCTTATAGGACTGTCAGTGATGGTACATCATACAGATGTTTCGTCCTTATAGGACTGTCAGTGATGGTACATCATACAGATGTTTCGGCCTTATAGGACTGTCAGTGATGGTACATCATACAGATGTTTCGTCCTTATAGGACTGTCAGTGATGGTACATCATACAGATGTTTTGTCCTTATAGGACTGTCAGTGATGGTACATCATACAGATGTTTTGTCCTTTTAGGACTGTCAGTGATGGTACATCATACAGATGTTTTGTCCTTTTAGGACTGTCAGTGATGGTACATCATACAGATGTTTTGTCCTTTTAGGACTGTCAATGATGGTACTTTATACAGATGTTTCGTCCTTTTAGGACTGTCAATGATGGTACTTTATACAGATGTTTTGTCCTTTTAGGTCTGTCAGTGATGCTAAGAGCCTACATTTTGAAACCAAGAATAGAAAGGGAGAAAACCTTAATTTACTTCAAAATCTTCTGTGATATTGATCAACATATTATATATCCCACTTTTAAATAATTTTTTTAATGGAAACAAAAAAAATAGAGTGAGCTATTTTGAAAAGTTAAGAGAAATAAAAAAAAACATTGATACCAGGGACGTATAATACAATCTATATTAAACGTCCCTGCTGATACCAATTAACAATGATTGTATTACGAAGGAACAACTTTATCATAAGAAGACCTATTTTGATTTTTTTTCAGCAAAATAATATATTTGTTCTTCAATATTTCTTATTGCGTGAAACGCCTAATTTATCTTAACAGATCAACACTATAATATGACGGTACAAAGATCACTACTTACCACTACATTTCTTATAGCAACAGAAACATACACCTCCAATACAGAAAAGTGCGCCAATTCCAACAAGGATAGAGGTCAGAACGATTACAGCGATTATGGAACTGTAACAAAGAGATACACTTCATGCAAATCGCTTCTTCTGATCTCGTTTGGTTTGTTATTGTTTTACGTTCTATTAATAGTCAAGGTCATTCAAGGACGTGACAGATTTGGTTGGTGAAGTAAACACAGAGTTTCCGGAGGGAAAAAAACACCGACCTGAGGCCAGTACCTGGCGCCTGCCCAACGTAGGCCTCCAACTCCCGACCTAGACGTCGCCAGAACACTGACGTTCGTCGGTGAGACGATACTCGGACACAGGGGGAATAACGGAGGCTTAGTGATAAGGCCACTTGGCTACCGCGGCCCGAATCATATACCACAGCTTGGATCTGTTGTACATGTAGTTTGTGACAATACCTGAACAACTACGTATGGTAAATCATTTTAATCGATATATGTCTTTTTCTTGTGTTGATTTAGATAATTAATGTCTTAGGTTGCACTAAAGACACGCATTATGTTTCAAAAGACACCGAAATCAACCAGAGACGTATATATCACATCACATGTGATATATACGTCTCTGAAATCAACGTATGTTTCGATACATATTTGAAATGAGACTACAGGGCGAACGCACCGTAGGGGAGACCGGGGCACAGTGAATCGGAAAAGTTGTTTTTGAATATTACTCCTTATCAAAAGGCAGAATTGATTGTCTTTTAAGTGCAAACGATAATGACCCATGGTCAGTGTTTAAACATGGCAAATATTACATGCCAACTTTGACAATTTTAAATATACAAGTGTTTGAATTTTTTAAAAAAGCTGATTCACTGTGCCCTGGCACCGGGGAACAGTGGACCATCAGCTGGGGCACTGTGAATCAGACAGTGAAATCAGTGGATTTTTTTTCTCTAAAAAGGATAAAAAATTACAAACATAAATGTTTTGCAAACAGAATTATTTATTCAATAATTAAGAAAAACCAAATTCAGTCTAAATGCAGTAATTTAGACCACAAAATTATCTAACCAATGACAACAACATGTGTGACTAGGTGTCTTCTAAATTCACATGAGTAAAATTGCCACTAAAACATCGTAAGTAAAGGAACTGTCTATCCATTGACAGCAACATGTGTGACGTTTTCAGTTATTGGCCTATCTGTTACGTATGAGCACATGAAATCTTCATCACTGAAGATGTTGGCGTCAAAAGGATGGATACCAGATATTTTGAATCCGGAATTGATATTCCTTGGAGTAAATGCCAGTGGGTAAGCTTTGCCGATAATCTGACTTACATTATGAATTGTGATTGGCTGGCCAGGGTGACTTATCATAAAATCATTTGCTGCCTTGGTGTAGAGGCTCTTGAAAGGACCATACACAGAACGGTCTAGGGGCTGCATTTTGTGACTACAGTGAGGCGGAAGTGTTAACATAGTAACACCATTATCCTTGGCAAGGAAAATTGTTTCAATTGATATATGAGATTCATGATTATCTAATATCAACAGAACAGGACGCTCTTTCGAGCATTTGGTTGCCTTAATAAAGTGTTGCATATATACAGTAAAGTTCTCTGAGGTCATCCATCCTGATGGATTTGCTACACCAACAGTTCCAGGCGGAGCTCCATATAGCATGGATTGTTTGAAATGCACACGAGGAAATACCAAGAATGGCGGTACTGAATTCCCAGCAGCATTTATTGTGCCAAGCATTGTTACTAATGTTCCTCTTTCTCCCGAAGTGATTTTGCCAACTTGTTTTTCACTTGTACAAGCAACTACTTTAGTGTTTCCAACTTTCTGAACGGTTGTGCACCCAGTTTCATCTGAATTGTATATGTCAGTTGGACTGAAATTATGTTCCTTCATTATTTTCTCCAGGTTATCAAAGAAGTCTTTTACATTTTTCTTGTTGAAACTTGTGGCACGCGATAAGCTGGTTGCTTCTGGACGACGTAAGGACAGGTTAGGATACCTTTTCATATACCCAGCAAACCAATCTTCACCAGCACGTCTGTTCTGCCTCCAAGACTCCGGAAATACTTTATCATTGCGATCAATGCTAATTCACGCACTTGCTGTCGTGTCAACCCATAGTGCATTTTAGAGGCTTTGATAAGATATTCCTGTAGAAGTATTTCTTCTTCAGTAAAAACCTGACGGCAGCTGTAATTTGGTGAATATGACATAGATTCTCTGTTTCCATGTTCCCGTGCTCTCTGTACATAACGACGCAAGGTTGAAAAATGAATATCATATGACTTGCAGACATTTCTAATACTCCTTTGTTCTCCTATAACTTTCTGAACGGCCTCTTTCATTTTAGTACTGGTAGTCTTTCCAATTTTCCTATCCTCTTTATTTCTATTACGCACCATATTTTATGATGCTGAAAAAGAATATAATATGCAATTATACTAATTAACTTTTATCTGCATAGTAAGTGAAAAGTCAAAGTAATCAATGCCAAGAGTTGAGATAAAGAAAAAAAACATTACTCGGGGCACACTGAATCACTATTCAAAGTGAGCCACTGTGCCCCGATTCACTGTGCCCCATATGGTCATATTTTAATCATGTGACCACCATCCTGACAAGGCTTAGTATCACATGGATAACACAACTTCGTCAACATCTCCAAACATCCATGTAACTAATGAAATATGATTGAGTGTCTATCAACTGACTATCAAGTGAGTATCTCAAAGGGATTGAGAGCACAAAAATTTACTTTTGGGGGTGTAAAACATACTTTACCTTGCAATTTTTTTTCTGGCTCCAGATAACTGATACTGCAAGACAATTTGGCAGGAACTCTTCAATACACATATACTGATGATGTCATCAGTCTATTAACACAAACCAAATTCTATAAATGATCAATGATTCACTGTGCCCCATGATTCACTGTGCCCCGGTCCCCCCTACAGCTGTTTTGGACCCCGAGTATTTCAAAAGACACAAAAAACGATATGTCTGTGGATACAAATTTGAAATGAGACTACAGGGCCAACGCACCGTACAGCTGTTTTGGACACAGTGTGTTTAAAAAAACAATGTATGTCTCGATATATATATATATATATGAAATATGATAATGAGTCATCATACAGCTGTTACGGAACCTAGGTGTTGATACATAGCACACGACAGAGCAAACTGAAAATAGGTCGACAGAAATATCAAAATCAAAGTACTGAAAGTACTGAAAGGCTAAACGTAATGAAAAATGTTCACAAATAACCGCAAAGCTATATTACTACAATCCAAAGGATAAATAGCT